ATTTGTTTGTACTCACGTACTAGATAGAAAATTCAACAAAAAAGTTCTCTTGTCGTTTTTCTATCGGAACAATATTTATGGTAGAAGACATAAGCCGTAATAATTTCAATTGATGAAATCGTGCCGTAAATTTAAAAAAATCGTATTTTTCATCTTCTTAAATTTTTCCCAATTATCGTCAAAAATATTTTAGATACCAAAAAACGATTTCCCATGCCAATGGTTATATATTAAAATGAAAAAAATCGATGTTTTGTAATTTTTCGATTTGGGCAATATTTCTAGCATAAAATATAAGTAGCTAAAATTAAAAACATTGAAAATGGTAACGCCGCGCCGTGGCGCTCCATAAATAATTTACATTTTACTTATAATTTTCTTTCGGGGTTACCCCGATTATTTTGAAAACCTCTTAGAAAACCAAAAATTGACCGCGATGCACCAACTATAGTAAAAACTGCATTCCCTAAAAGGAAATGATACTTGACACTACAGAGCAAGTTTTCTGGTATTAAAGTTGCTCAAATATTTTTTTCATTTTTATTATATTATTGAAAATTATTTTTGAGGAATTTTGTATAAGACATTTTTCATCCCCAGCCCTATTGTTATAATTCCAAATGGATAATCGCTAAAGTTGTAATGTTATACTTATTAGTATTTACTATTTAGCAGATATAGGTAACCAATTGCTATCACATATAAGTATATAACTATTACTTCGGTCCTAGTTGGTTCTTCACCATAATAATACGAGTACGTGTGCGCATATAGAAGTGAAGAAAATCCGCTAGGTATAATGTTAATAAATTAGTATTTTTTTTCTCGATCAAAAAATGTCATTGTAACGGTTATACCAATATTACCATACTATTATATTGTGCCCGACGTTCATTTTTGGAATACTATATTTTTGGGTATATGTAACGGTAATGTATAATAATAATGTATACAATATATTATGTCGTAGGTTAGGTATACGCAGAGGGTCTCGTGAATTTCCATTCCTATACATGTACATACATATATACGTATCTTCGCCGGGTATAATATTATTATGATTAAATATTATTTCCGATTTTTCACCGATACAATAATTTTGAGCCGAATAATAATACCGCAAATGAAACGTCACGTTTCAATATACGCATAAACAACATTTACGATAACGATTTCATATTCGAATATGATTTTTCCGTAAAAATTATTGTTTTATAGTTTATCAAAAACCTTGGCACAGTCGTGCAGGGTAATTTTATCGGTCAAAACTACATATTGTTTATTTTCACTATTTTCACGTAACTACGCCATTAAATATTGTCTGATGTAAATATACAATCTGTCTTGAATGTCTTGAATCTGTTTTCAATGATTAAGGGCTGCAATAAAAATGTAATTTTTCTCTACATGTGTGTTTCCCTCATACAAAACCAGATTGGAAAAAAACAATTAATATTGATAGAGATATTAGCATAAGGATAACACTGAGAACACCCTGTATAGTAAACTTCAGGAAGATAATCAAACTATTATAATATAGATTACAGAGACCGACGTATATATTTACGGTTTTGTTGTCTTAGATACACATTATTATTTAGACCTTTCCCGTCATTTCTCCGATTGTTGATCAATCCTATTGAAACACTGTTATACACGCACATCAGTCATATAACTATAGTGTTCTAATAATCCACCCTCTAAATGTTGTTATGTCCTTTTAATTGTCTTGTGGCGTATTTGTTCATCTATAATTTTAGTTGTTTATCAATGTATAATGTACAGAGTGTTTAGTGTTTAGGTACACATTTTAGTGGGTACACCCATTATCTCGGAAAGTATTCACTTTTATCGGAATTTGTTTTATAGAACATTGTTATAAGTAACAAGCAACTATACAATTTTACATTTAAGTTATTATTTGTCATTCTTATTTTTTGAAATAAAACCACTACCTATTTTCATTATCAAATAGGAATCTCGTATATTCAAAATTCCACAGATAGATCGAGTATTAGTTAAAATACATTTTGTTGTTGAAATTGTTGATTTTCGTCAATCTGTTGATGAGATATTTCACTTTTAAATTTGGGACGGGGGAGAGTCATTGAGTGGAGCATCATTTATGTGGCGGTATGCGGCGTTTTAATAATGCTCGCTCCCCCGACCCAAACTTTAAAGTAGAATATCTTGTCAACGGATTGATGGAAATCAAAACTTTCAACATCAAAATTCATTTTCACTAATACTCCGACTATTTATGTAATTTTTAATGTAATATAAAAAATAACGCAAATGTAAAATTGTAGAGCTGCTGTGAACCCAATGATGAATCAAGCTAAGAATATATTGGGAAGTGAACGGGGTGGGGAGGCTGATCACTCTTATCGTCCTCCCTTTGAATCCTCCACTTGTTTAAATAGAGATCGGTGTTTAATAATGTTGGTAGGTAAGTAACTATTTTTAACGTTAAAATCAAAACCAAACAAAGTGTGCATTTTAAATGAAAATGCTGTAAACCGAATATAAATACGATACTTCAAAATCAACAAGTGTAATAAAGTATGACTTTGTAGCTTGTTTTATATGCATATTAAACAAATAAATATATTATATTTGCTAATACTAAAATGTTCGAGTCCTTCTGATAACATCCCTATCGTTTTGATACTATATTTGACTTAATATTCTAAATTAAACAATTTTTTGAATAAAAAGAAAACAAACGTGTACGAACAAACTTGTTTATATTGCAATCATTCTGGATATTCATAATTTGCAGTTGGAACAAATTATTTACTTACGTTTTGTGTGCAAACATTTTATGTACCTAGTTATAATTTTGACTTAATAGTTTACATTTCGTATACGTAAGTTACTAATTATTATATTAAACTTTTAAATATGTATTTATTTTTATTTCATTCTTTTATAAAATATAATTAGGTTAATTATAATTTAAAGATTATACAGTTATAATATCTATAAAAATTTAAACGAATTATAATATTTCATTAAAAAAGATTTTTGTGTTGTATATGAATTTAGTAATGCTCGAATTGCAGGGAGAACGTTGCTTCTTTAATTTTTAATTTTTATTTACTAATTATTTGACACTACTATTAGAACGTGGAGATAGTTCAACTAACTCCTTTTGAAAATAATGATATTTTCAAAAAAAAAAATTATTACCAGCTCAGATTTATTCAATATTGTAAATATATTATTTTCAATTAAGTATAATAACATTGAACTACATATTGATACTGCTAATGAGTGAGTTTTCTGAATGCTAATAACTCCATCAATATTAATTTTTTTTTTTTTTTTTTTAAATTGTTTTAATATGATTTTGTGTCAGGGGGACATAAATGTAGCGAAAAATTAAATTTTTATTTTCATTCCTTAATTACTTAAAAAGACCTTTATTTTTTGATTTTTTAAAATTTTCAAAATAGCCAACTTGTAAAATACATTATTATACTGAATACTTTAATGGACCATACATACATATTCAATCAATAGTTAGTTAGTTATAGTGGCTTTAATGCATAGAAAATAGGCGTAAAAATAATTAATATTCAATAGAAAATAAGGAATCGCCGTACTGATTGTGATTCCATACCTCGCAACGCGTTATTCCATTGAAAATTAATTGTTTTCACAGTTCGGTGATTACGAGATGAAAATAAAAATTTAATTTTTCAGTTCTCTTGACACCAAACCCGATTGAAAAAAAAAAAAATGAACATATTTACCGAGTTATTAGCATTCGGATATCACATCCTGTATACTATATCATTATGAATCTTTTGTTACTATTTATTAAATAATAGTGCCAAAAATCCATAATAATTGCCAAAATTAAAACTTTCGTACGCGGTGATTTAATCTCGTTATAATATTTTTGACAGTAGGATCTTTTGTTTTTATTTTTGATTCAATCACAAACTTACAGGTAATACACGCGGTACCGCCTCGCCGGGTTCGTTTAAATCCGTAATAAAGTCAATTCGCATTGCAAAATATAGATAGGTACCTACTCCGTACACGTATAGTATTATTATCACACGATTCGTTGACGCTCGCACTAGTTTTTTCGCTAACGCACGTATTTTTTCCCCGATTTAAACGCACTCCGATTAACAAATTTTTTATGTATATACATTTTTTTCGTCCTTATTTTTTTCCACGTTACGGCAACATTTTCTATATAATATATGTACTCTATATTTGTAATTATTTTTTATAACAAGGTCCCGCGAATAGGTGCCCGTCACGAACCACGAACAGTGACGCATAACTAGGATTTTCGACGAGGGGGAGGGGAGGAGGATAGGCGAATGTTGAACAGTATGAATAAAGAAAAAAAAAAAAATCTAAATTTCGACTCGCGAGGTTTTGGTGTGCAACCGAAGATATGTAGAACGTAGGAGAAAATCTCCTCAATCGAAATCGTCAATACATAGAATGTATTCGATTTTCTAATAGGGTGGGATTTGAAATTATAAACAAATTCCGGAAAAACCGGTTTTATCATAGGTTTTTTATGGTTCATTACAAGCAGCCAAAATGGTTATTATGTCTGAATTGTCGCCGTAAAATGATAAATTATGTTTTTTGTTAAGTGCAAAATAATCTATTGTATTATTAAAAATTTAAATGTGCGCGAATATTAACCATCATGTTATAAAATATTTAAATATGCACGTTGGATTTTATTTCCGCTATTATTGAAACATGTGAAATTTGTTTAGAGCCACCGTGGCCACTGCGGACCAGTCCAGTCGTGTCTAAGACACTGTATATTAACTATATAGGTGGAAATAGGAGAAATTATGGCCCGCGCCTACTAGGCCATGGCCTAGTCTAATGCCTAATGTACTCAACAAATTCCAACCAAAAACTAATATATACCTATAAGAAACAAAAAACCACGGTCACCACGAAACAGGATCGTTTGAATGATCTCATGTTGCTTTTTATGGAACACATAAACAATGGCTAAAAACGGTGATGTTGAGGATGTAATTGAGAATAAAATGTCCCTTTTTTAAGCCGTCTCTCCATATTGCGACAAAATAACGAAAAATGAAATTCTAACACAAAACACGGTGGACTGTCGTGTTGAAACTTTGAAACGTTATTTTATTTGTTTATCTGTTTTTCAGAAGTTTACGCTATCGCGGACGGTCGTGACCAATCAGTATTTATTAACAACGTACAAATATTATTTCTATACATAAATAATAATAGATAGTACTATACATTACTATTACCTATGTTACTCACATGTTTTTCGTTATAGACGGCCGTTTCTCATAAGTTCACGCTATCGCAGACGGCCATAACCAATTATTATTTTTATCAACGACGTTCAAATATTATTTCTGTATACTGTATAAGCACTATTAGCACGCAACACACTATAGAAGTATAGGGTATAGAGATAGACTATTCCAAATAATATTCCATATTAAATATAGTGTATACAAAAATATTTTTCCCCACTGCTTATCTTTAGTTCGACATTTTAAAGTAATTTTCTTGAAAATATTGAAAAAAATTACTTATGCTTCGCGGTTCACTGAAGTAGTCTCCACGGAACCCTGGGGTTCCACGGAACACAGTTTAAGAAACGCCGATCTAGTAATAATGGATAATAATGAATAATTTGCAAGGTTTTTAACGTTATTTACTACGAATTCACGTTAATTCCAAACAGTATTAGTTAATGATGTTAATTGAAATTCAAATAGAATTTTATGTTAATTATTGTATATTTGTTAGTTAATAAAAAAAAAAAGATGATATTTAAATTTGTAAATGATAATTATTTATTTTCACACGATAAAGAAATGTGGCATTTATAATTGCATAAATTCCCAACTACACGACAGGTACATTTTTTCGTTTTACATTTCGTCTTACGATGCCATCTTTAATAGCCTTGTGTGCCCATAAGACTATTTCAGGCTGCAGCTTCTCGAAATATTATCTCTTTTTTTCCCGACGATTCAAGAAGTTTTGAGATCCAATAAAATTTGTATGGTACAAGGTGAGACCTCTTTGTACTTGTGTTTAAGAAAATCATTTTCGGTACCTTATTCAAATATAAATACGTCAGAAAGCCCTATCCTAGCCCTATCACCCACTAAGCTTATTAATACAGCAGCTGTAATACTATCTAGTATCTATCGCCGTAAAGATAATATTTTACAAAGTGTATAGAAATTATCGATATTCAAACCAAACAAATAATTAAAAACGATATAAACTCGTTTGTTCGGTAACTAACGTAATTTTCTAGAAAATAACGTTATTTTGGTTTATAAAATCATTTAATGTAACATAAACATATACAACTGGATGGCTAACTAGAATCCATAAACAATCAGTTATTCCGTGTGATAAAGTCTTTATCATATAAGTAATCTTGCGCCTTATTTAGTCACAGCTCGGAAACCTAATACCACAACGACATGACTATTTGTATAATTTCTATACTCATTATTTAACTATGCTGTAAGAACATTTATAAGATTTGGTTTTTTTTTTTTTTACTTTAAGGGTGGATTGCCTCCTCTTGGCCTATATTTATATGTATATGTACTATGCAGTCACTTTAATAAGTGAATAGTGTACTACTTCTGGGTTATTCGACCCATTGTAGATACCTACCAGAATATAAATATTTTCGGGATGCTTTATCATGATGGTTCCGTCAAAATACTTGATATGCGGAATACTGTTACGGCTTTAGGATAGCCCTATTTTTCGTGGAATACACTCACTTTTCCGTGGTCGATAAGAAAAAAAAACGGGAGCTAGATAGATGAGCGCGGGCGCATCACAGTAGATGGAAATTAATTCTCGTGTCTCTAAAAATTACGGAAGGGAGAGGGGGGGAGAAAGTGAGATGTGAGTATGTTTAATATGTAAAATATTTAACTTCCCCCCACCCCTTAGGGCTCGTTAAGAACCACTACTGTTTGTATAAACGGGGTGATCAATTTATCAAAAGACACTCATTATCTCGGAAAGTATTAACTTTTTCCGGAATTTATTTTCTTGAACATTTAAGAAACAAGCTGCTACAATCTTATTTTCATGTTATTTTTTATTACCCTTATTTTTTAGGGGTAAAACCATTACATACTTTTGATTTTCAAATGGCAATCTATATTAAAAATTCCATAAATAGACGGAGTATTATTTAAAATAAATGTAAGTGTTGAAATTTTTGATTTCCGTCAATCCATTGACGAGATATTCCACTTTTAAGTGTGGGTTGGAGGAGAGTAACGGAGTATCATTTGTGTGGAGGTATAGCGCGTGGCGTGTTAACAATGCACCACCACTCTCCTCAACCCAAACTTAAAAGAGGAATATCTCGTCAATGGATTGGCGCATATCAAAAATGTCAACTCCAACATGTATTTTAACTAATATTTTGAATACAGGAATTTTTAATATAGGTTGCCATTTGAAAATCAAAAGTAAGTAGTGGTTTTACTCCCAAAACTAAGGGTGACTAAAAAATAACATAAATATAAAATTTTAAAGCACCCTGTTTCCTAAATATTCTAGAAAATAAATTCCAGAAAAATTAATACTTTCCGAGATAACGAGTGTCTTATCATATATTGATTATTATAGTATCAATGACGTGCATTTGAGGGTCTTAACTTTCAATCCCCCTCCTTACAATTTTCACCATTTTTTATTTTATTTTTTGGAATTAATAGTATATAGTAGTGTTAATTATTATTTTTATATTTTGGTCTGGGGAGGATTTTTCCTGACATCCCCCAGGCTTTCCCTCATACACTTCCCCGTACTATGTACGCCACTGCAGCTCCCATAAATACGCCACTGGTAGCGACGAATACTCGAGCGGACGGACGTATTGTACGACATATATCCGCGTTTGTATGCGCATGCCGTCTTAAACGCAAATAACCTCCTCCTCCTCATGTTTCTCCTCTTCTCCCCACCGATATATAAGTGCGCGTTCGCGTGTGTGCGATCACACAACTTTTACTTCTACTATTACTACTATACTATACTGCTGTGTACGGTTATACTACTACTACTACTACTACTACTACTACTACTATTACTACTACTACTACTACTACTACTATATAATATAATGTACTTACTATCGTTGTAATATATATACAGGGGGGACTGACGGTGTCCGGAAGAGGAGAGCTTTCGGACGGTTTTCGGGCGATTTGAGAATTTGGTCGCACGCAGTGTATTTAGCGCGCCGGTTACAGCCGCTACTGTACACTACGCACTGAAGCACCGGTGGCGCCACGCGCCATGCACTCCTTGGTCGTCGTCGTCACTTCTCGCAAACTCGACCGCCAACAGGTAAGACTTAAACAAAATAAAATAAAATATTATTACAATAATATAATAGGATGTCTTTTTGAAATTTGTTTGGTTATTTTTTTTTCGTTTAACGCGTTTTGTTATCGTTATTATTAATATTATCATAATTTTTTTTTCGTTCGCTCATGGCACGCCGGCATAGGAATCCTAATAATATTTGGTTTCGATTATATTATAACATTAGAAATAAGAATTGGGGGGAGGAGACACTGTACAATTTGTTTACATTTTTATCATTTTTTACCCGCGGACTTTAACATTTACGATACACGAATTTTAAATTATTAAGTTTTTTTATTTTTAGACTAAATTAATACAGACGTCGAGTCAGTTTTGTTTTAAAAACATTTTTTAACTATGCTTCACGATATACAAATATTATTATGACTTCGTTAATTGAAACAATATTTTTTCATTTTATTTATTATGTTTAACTATAATGGTACTTATTATTTTAGAGTTTAATTCTGAAATATTTATGATAATCCGAATTCACGTTATAGTTTTAATTAGGTATTTTATTTCTAGTTATTAGATATTATAGATTAATTAATTCACTATACAAATTATTATTATTATTTAAAACAGTTATAGTTTTAAATATTTGAGAAAAAAATGTCCTTTTTGTTTTCATATAACATATTATATGCGTAAGTACTCGTATATTATAATTTATCCATTTTATAATTTTAATGTAAAAGACGAATATTAAATACTATTTTTCAGAAAAAAAAATTGCTATGTAATAATATGTTTCGTTTTTGTTTTTTAAGTAAAATATGAGAGTATTGTCTACAAATAATACTATTATTTAATTAGACGATATTCGGGTAAAAAGGAATAAGTTCATTGTGTTCATTATTCAATCCACTGTCTAATTTTACTTAGGTTATTTATATACTATAAGGTGTAAAGTTGAGGAAAAAATACTTGAAAACAAATGCAAGAGATTTTCAAATAATTTGACAGTTTGACAGTTGGTTTAATTTCATTAAATTTAGTGTTATATATTATGAATTATTAGTTCAAATGATTTTTTATTTTTAGCGACTCGTTATATTATTAGTTTAAAAATTTTAACATTTAAAGAATATACTAATACAAACATTATTTGTATTATTATTTTATGTATACAAAATATGAATTAATGTTACGCATGTACCGAACAAATATTCTTGTAAATCGTCGGATTAGGAATTTTAAAACAATAATATTACAATTTTATTGGAAATTGTTGGATACGGTCATATGCGTATAGGTAGGTAATAATTAAATTATATAAAAAGTAAGTCGGTATTTTAAATATTATGTGTGGTCCGGTTATACATTATAGATGACCTACGAATTATGACGTTTTAGATTTGCGATAATTTCAGTTATTCTTAAAAATTGTTATAATAATAAGTTTGTTGTTTCTATATCAGTTCCCAAATTATTGTATAGATGTGATATTTCGAACGGTTTTTATTATTGTCACTATATTATTATTGTTTGAAAGTATCTAATCTGCAGCGGCGTTCACGTAAATAATGAAAGGAAGAGTCATTCAAGTCCACATATAAATTTGTGTACTTTATATAAAATTAAAAAGGCAATGGGTAAAAGGATCGGACCCCCAATTTCTCCCGGGAATGGTCAACTCCTACAAAATTAGGTAATCTCCTAAATTGACATAGTGATAACTCCTACACGAAATAGCGTAATTTTCTACACTAGATAGGTAGCATTATAATAAAAAGTTTAAAAAAAAAATTTTAACTTTTTTTTTTTTTTAATAATTTCAATCTTTTAAGTTGAGATCATTAACATATGATATCCAATAATTAATTCAAAATAATACTCATAATAATTATTAAGATGAGAAAAGATAATACATAACTAAATACATTTTTATCATAAAAATTACCAATTACCCATACAATCAGTCATATTATTAATTTTAATTTTTTATCATATTACATTTTATTATAAAATCAGTCGTATTTTAAATTAACAAAATCAATCAATCCTCCTCCTCAATTATACAACCTTGTACTTAACATGTTTTTAGTTTACGATTTGAAAAAAAAAACACATTGAATAGTACATGTATAAAACAGGGACTCAAGTGACTTTAAATTTTTTCAACTATACTGGAAATTTATTATTATAATAGATACAATACCTATCTATATTCTTATGAAAAAGTAATATACTGTTACCGGCCTTGGCGACAACGGTAACGGGCTTAGGTTAACAAGGGGACAAACTTATATAGAATTGAATTAGAAAATATCGATTAGCGTAATAATACGTACGCATTTTTATTTTGTTCACTTATCCTCTTTCTCTGTACAATATTATTGTCACTATTTTTCTGTATTGCCTTAACACGTCCAATAATAATCGGAGTTGGAATGATCAATCGCTGCATACTACAAAATAGCTTTGGTCTCAACATTACAGGGAAGAATTGTTTAAGTCAATTTAATTTAAAAAAAAGTCGGAAAAAAATCGGAAATTACGGAAACATTACTGAAAAAAAATTACATAAACTGCATTTTTTAAAAAAAATGCCGAAAAATGTTTTCGATTGCAATACGAGAAGAATACTATTTTAAATTTGAATCATTATGTATCTTATAGTTATCGGGCTACATTAATATATATTATTAGTATATATGTATGGAAAACGCGTATAAACGCATCACGCGCAAAGGAAACATCACATTTCGGTTGATGGATTGGATAAATCTTTTTGTTACGATTCTTCAGGATATTTTCCCTAAATGAGCGCGTTTTGGAATTTTCATCCGAACGATATATATTTTTAAAGGTTAAGTTTAAAATGTTCAGCGTTTAAGGAATATCCGAGCATCCATCGTTCGGCAGATACCTATTATACACGAACGTATAGATTGCATTACTATTTATAAGTACACGTTCGAAGTATATACATAATAATTGTTTAGAATTCAGTATTGTTTGTGTTAAATACATAATAATAATAAGTGTTTAAATACTTTCGGTTCAGAAATGGAAACATATAATATTATGTATTCCATAGTTATTAAATTTTAATGTTCAGTTTAAAAAAGTAATAATATCGTCCGTCCGACCGATTCACAATTGTACGGATCTACGAGTGAAATATTAATACATTTACTCTGTAATTGGACAAATTGATATTCATTTGAAAATCATTGGAAATAATATTATATCTACATAACGTATCTATATTGATATTTATCATCACGTTGGGGATTTAGTTAAACGTTTAAAAAGTTTCACGGAAAACCCATCAACGTCTTTGTATAACATTACAATATTTGTATATGTACGAGTTACCAGCCATTCTGTACGGCCGACATCTAATTTCTAGGTCGTTAGACGATAGTGTGTTATAATATTATTATAGTCGTCCAAAGTATATAGCGTAGGAAGTTTCCTATTTGTTTAAATACCCTTGAAATAAGGACTCGGTTTATATTCGGCAAAGTAACTATCAATAGACTGTAGCCTTTATGCATATTGTAATAATATACACTGTAAATTATTTGGACACTAACGACAGTATAAAGTTTGCGCGTCGAAGTTGTTGTGAGAAAAACGACACATTATAGATTAGATTATTGTTATACAATAATATACGAGTGTAAATCCGTTTTGAGCTTAGGTACCTACCCCATCGATAAATACGCGAAATTGAAAGACGTCGCCACGTTGGGAATTTTGTATATTATGATAGTTGATTCAAACATTCTGAAGTGAAGAATGTTACATAACATATTTCGTCCTTTTTTGGGGGTTTTTAACGTATAACGGCTAATGCGATTATACTATTTAGGTGCATAGTATAGAACAAGTGTAGTAAAACTATGTGTGCTTTATACAAATACTTTACGTGTATGCGCTCTTATATATAATAAGTTCAAAGGAATCATTGGAAAACTTTTAACTTTGTCTATTTTGTCAAACGGATTAGTTTTATTATAGACGAACAAAACTACATAATTATTCTTTAACGTACCTATATTTTATCGTTTAAATCAATTATTAATAAAATTACATTTAAATTTAATTTTCTTATAAATATTATATCGGACCAAAAAAAAAAAAAAAGAAAAAACCTTAATACATTTTGTATTTAACTGATTTTTTTTTTTTATTTTTATCATGAATAATATGAATATAATGTATTGTTATTGTGTATAAAATAATAATTATATTATAATATATATTTAATTTAAAAAAAAATTAGGAATAACGAGCGTACAAAAAGAAAACATTAAGCTATATATACAGGTATAAAAATAATACATCTGAAGAATTTAAATTAGCTGACTGATGAAGTTCTCGAGACACCCTCAACGGCACTTCAATTATACTAAGCATTAGTTATAAACGGTACTGTAATTTAACTTGTTGAATTTTTTTCTTTAGATTTTTTGATGATATCTTAGCTTTATGATTAATTATAGCATCTACTTAATTGGTTTGTTACCTATTTTATTTTCTCATTTATTCTCTAAAATAATCTCTTGGGTAGGTCATTGTCTATATACGATTTCGGATTAGAGAAAGCGATTCAAAGTTTTAAAACCTATTGATGTTATTATTTCAAATTTTTATCACAATATTATTCAATAATTTATAAAAGTGTTCACGTAAATATTATCAAAATGGGAGGAGAGGAGGGTACCAATAAGGTTAACGGATTATCACTTCAAAGGATCTTCAGTATATTTACCTATCTTCAGTAAATAACTTTATTAAATTTGTTGTTTTACCTAAATGAGTTTCTACAGTTCTCACCAGTGCTGATATATATACCTCTATAGCTCCGATACATAATTACTAATGAGAAATATGATTACTTAAACCAATATACCGGTACGTTAATTTACAGTAATACTATTATATATCACATATTCGTATTAAATATTAGTACATAAGTTTTGTATCGGATTAAAATTGTACAAAAAGGTCACGTACCTAGACGCTTTTTTTTATAACTAAATAAATCCATTAAATAATATAGTATTTCGTAAAAAACGTGTATTTTTTTTTTTTTTACGCTAATTCGTCAAATATTCTTATGCGAACCGCGTTTATATAATACAATTGTTTCAACATTTTATAAGTACAAACAAATCTAGATTCGCAATTAGTTGTATGTTTTATTATAATATAAATTATATTATTTTAGTGAACATTTTTTGCAAAGGTGCGTTAAAAATTTCCTTTTTATTATATTATATAGATATTGAGGGCATCAGTATTCGCGAATATATAAAATATGACAATCATTGATGAATATTTTTTTTTCTTATACGAAGTTTGAACCTTACGTATAGTCGTATATAGATATATATTAAAAAAAAAATGGTTTACAAAAGAAAATAAATCATGTAGTGACACGAAGAAAATGTCTTGAAATTGTAGTAGTACAATAGGTAAATATATAACGTTTTAGATTTAGAAAATATTAATATTACATTTTTATAAAACCAATATTAAATTATTAATGAAATTGGATTTTAACCGTTTTTATATTTTTTTCGGTGTTTTAACGTTGAGCTAATTCCATACCTTGTTTTAGTCATACAATTATTTTTTTCTTCTACTATATAATAATAGTAATACAATACTATAATATTATACTTCCAATAAAATGACAAAAATGTCTAGAGAAGTGTTAAAAGCTAGAAATTCACCCTCCTCTCATATCAATACACGGTGAAATTCATATTGAAATTCAAACCAATTTTGATCACTTTAATTCACCCGTAAAACATATTAAATTCACGAGTTCGAAGTTATTTCGTCCAGAGAAAGTCGATAGAATATAGTATATAAAAGTAACGAGAAAAAGATATAGGTATAATGAATAAATTGATGCAATAGTAGACTGCAATATCGTCTCTATTTTCGGGAAAAAATTGATCAAAAACGTACTTTTAACGGCATCACGTAAAATGTTTCGGATCTAGTTATGTATCTCCAAATACATTCGAAAACTTTGTACATTCATTTCGAACATGTTGTCGTTTTCAATACGATGATTATGTGAGTATTGTCCACCTCCGATAAAACACCGATCGTGACACTAAAACCTGTCGAAATTACTGAATCGGACTCTCCTGAGTGCTGGGCACGATGACAGCCACAGAAAAATAGTTGGAAAACCGTATGTGCAGATAGATCAATCATTACGAAATTGTTTAAGGTTTACTCTATCATTGTTTTAAAATTATTACTCTTACTCCATTATACGACGTTAAATTAATGTTTTTTTTTAAATTTTTAAATGGCTACCCTTCGATATTTTCTTCTCACCCCCAATAGTTCGAAAAACAATTTTTTTTAAACATTTTGATATGCACATAAAAATTTGTGTTGGATTTACCAATAATGAGTCATAACAGCTTAATAGATTTAAATCTTAGGCGTAGGGTAGAGTAATGGATTTCATATTAATTTTTTGATAACGACCCTTCCCTACCCCTTCTTCTAAACTGTTATGACATATAAATATTAAATCCAATATTAGCGTTTTACTTTTGGATAGCAACATTTTTAGAAAAATAGTCTTTTTAAAAAGGAGGGATGGGGACTTTGATATTTGAAAATAAAAAGTTGCTAAGAAGTGTTTATGTTATTTATGGTATACAGAATAAGGGTATAATTTTAAAAAAAAATCTGTAATAATTAATAATGTTCATTGAACAATTTTATTTTATTGATTGCAAAAATAAAAACCAAAATACATTTCACTTAAAATTCAAAATATTTTTCTAGATAATACATAGATGTTGGTGGAATGTAATAAAACAGTTTTTTTGTATACACGTAAATACTATACGGATTATTCCGTTCGTCGTAAATCGGACGAAATTTCAGAGGAAATCTCATGTCGGAACCGCGTTATCATAGCTGTTGTCAAACGCGTACAACCCTTAGAATAACGAATTCTTAATATTACCTACTGCGTGGTTTAATCTGACCCGTGAGACCGATAACGGATTCCTCGCCGGTCCCGATTATAATAATATGTAAGGGACCCACTGTGCGACATCACGTCATGCCAGTTAACAGTCGGTATCAACAGTTTTCAGTAGGTACTTATTAGTAGTTGTTCATCAGATGTTGTGCGAGCTTCATGCGAATTATTTTAATAAAACAATCAACGTTCTATACCATTGTTCCGATACACATACCGATAATATTATTACATTACTATGTCACGCGATCATCATACTACTTAAGCCGGGTTCTCCGTGACTCGTGTATTTGACGAATATACCTGAATATTAAATAATCGCCAACTTATACACGGGTACAGCCAAGTAGACGATTCGCGCGGATTCTCACAAACGAAATAATTCTTATTCTTTTGTAGTTCATCGCTACTGTTATATATAGACGAATTTCGGGTAGCCAACCGAAAAATAATCGTCACGTCGTGGGAATAAACTTTACCGACAATCCGCGCGGGAAGGTGGCGAAGAACAAATCACGTTGTACTCCCATCTTCCGATGGGTACCTATTCCTCGTACGTGAATACTTCTATTCTCGAATAACAAATAATCGGTGAATATATGTGTCGCGGGAACCCACGTGTTTATAGAACTGTTAAGTCATTTTCGTACAATTAGCTATTTTTTTTAGATGCCAATAAAAATATATTAAATATATGTACTATGCAGATGTGGATCAATAATACCAAAACTTGCCTTTAAAATAAGTTTGAGAGAAAAAAAAAAATTATCACATTCAAATTTATGAAATCCTTAAAATATGCCATAAAAATCCAAACACTTCAAAATACGCAAGATACTATTTTTTGTATATAAAATCGTTAGCCAATCATAAAATGTATTTCAATATAAACTATCTATTTTTTTGACTAACTAATACAAACATTAAAAAGTATATCTGCCCTAATAATAAGTATTTCAAGCATGATAATTTTAATAATGACAGTATTGATTCTTCGTGTAAAGCGATAATTTGGTATCTCCTAGCACGTAACTCTCGTATTGCCAAATAATATGTCAATTTTGGTTTTTCAAGCAGTGCTCTTCTTTACATCTATAACTACGTGCAAATTGCTTTGTAGCCTTTTCATTGCTTATTGTTAATCTCGAATACCACTAAAGAGAATCCTTAATAAATGAAGAATTAAGTGGCCCATTATCAACTAGGGTGAGGAAAATTACGTATCTTATCGATCTACAAATTATGCCACTATTGCTAAATCTACCCAGATATTACGTATGTTAACTGTTAAGGGTACTATATTATTATGTTCACATTTTGATTAAAATAATGTCTGCTAATATTTCACTATACATATATATATATAAACTCGATAGACGATTGTTGTTCCGAACATGTCCTGTATATAATTGGAGTTCTCCCTTCCCGATATACGGGTCACCATCACTGGACATTCGGTAAACGAGCGGCCCGAAATACGGTACTGACTCAAAATCAATCATTCGTCTTTTGCGCAAACGATAACTTATTATTATACGGATATTTTTCGTTTCCATATCAAACCACGCACGTAAACCTTTATTGGTGTATATAATTCGAATGATCGATGATCATTTTTTTTTCTACTTGCATTAATAAATCAGTTTTCAACCAGCGGCATAAACAAGTTTTTTCAATAGCCCCCCTCCCCTTTTTAATAATAAGTAACTCGGTCTGTAGACTGCTGCAGTTAGAATATTAACTTTATTATAACAACAGTGCAGAGGGTCACTACCTGTGTTATAAAAGAAATGAATGCATACCTATTTGTTTTATTTTCAAGCTCGTCATATGATTTGTTTTTTTTATAATGTAAATATTTTCTCATATCGTAAAAACATTAAAATAATAAATTGCTCTATTTATTGCATAGGACATATTATTGTGTATTAAGGTGCATCAAATTACCGGTATACACATTAAAGAAAAAAAAAAGTAGAACATATGTCTGTAAACTATTGTTATTCATCCTAAAAAAAATATGCTACACAATTTTTCATAACTGCTGTTATTGGCTTGAAAATAACTCATTATGCGGAATATTATTTGCACTGTTCAGACTGTGGTGGTTTGGTGTATTTTTCTAGACAGTCTACAAGTAATGTAAGATAGTAGCCAATCGCATAATACATTCTGATTGATTCACCTGTTATTTATATCTAAGGATCTGTATTTTGTATCCTAATACAAAATTGTGTCAGTTACATTTTTCCAATAAAATAACACAATTTTTCATAAAAATAATGCATTTTGTCTGATTTTTTAAATAATATACAACTAAGACGATAAATTATATTGCATATTATGTGGCTTGTATTAATATATAAGCCAGAGTATTATAATACTCGTATAATAATATTGTGTTACTGATTCAAAAGCCTCTAGGCTGCACTGTCCGAGTATAAAAAATGGCGGTCCATTCAATAGTGATAAGGATAACCTAAGTTGGTCGATTTCTTACTATAAAGGTTTATCTCTACCTATAATTTATATAACTTTTAACGACAACATAGGTATAAATATATGTATAATATAAACCTGATGTTGTTTTTCGATGTAACGATACTGACAAGCATTTAAACGTTGATTTCAGTGACATGGTGATGGGTGAGGGTGAGGGCGACATGGAAGGCGGGGGTGGTAACGACGAGTGCGTAGACGATAGGGATGAAGAGGTCGCAGCCATGATGGGTCCGTCGACTACAATGTGCGGTTCTAGCAAGTGTAAGAAAATCAGAAGACCTCTGCCGCCCCGAGAAACGTGGAAGAAGAAAATCGAATTTTTGTTGGCGGTCGTCGGGTTCGCTGTCGATTTGGGCAACGTTTGGAGGTTCCCGTACATCTGTTACCAGAATGGCGGAGGTAATTATTTTCATAACTTTTACTGTTTGAAAAATATTCATAAATATTTAAGGATGTAGGTATTAAAACTGTACTTTCCTATAGGTATAAAGTATTAGATATTTCCATCATCATAGAAACAATTAGTCCATACTTATTAGGTATAGGCGGAAAAATTATAATTTACTCGTTTACATAATTTCGTGATATTTGATAAGGTGATCATCATAAAGTTAATCATCATTAATGATCATTAATGATGTTACGAATCTTTATTTTTAAGACCGAACCAAACCCGAACCGAACATACAATATTTTATTCGAATTCAAACTGAATTAAACTATTCAAATATTTTATCGAACTTGAACCAAACTTTAAAAAAATTAAACTGTTTTATGTTTAAAATTTAAAATATTGCATTCTTTAGAAAGACAGTAATGTCATAAACCTATTTCTGTGATTTGATGACGTTGAACTAACAATACAGCAGTGTACGATCAAGTCTGGATTAAAAAGGGCAAAGGGGTTATGGATCCCGGACCTACAAATGTAAGGGGCTAATTGAATCATCACTAATGTTTGTACCGTTTTCGTAATGGATACAACAATTTACATAATATAAAAATTCAAATGTTTTTAAAAATGGCCTATAATAAAGTTTGGTCTTAGGACCAACTAAACCTTTAAACCGACTTTGTGTAATATACATGTTATGTGCGTCTTGCGGGAAAAAAATAATATTCACTGTAAAAATAAACCAAAATAAATTACATTTAATTTTCATATCATTATTCATCAAAATTAATTTCATTGGTTCGAATCTCAAACCGAACTTATACGTATTATTAGTTTGGTTCGGTTATTAGCAATTTTCAATTAGATTTTTAAATTGAACCGACCAGTTTATAACATCACTAATAATAATTCATAACAATTTATCGGTCCGGTCAAGCGCTGTAAGTATGAGAAATAAAAATTTAGCATATCGTGATGAGATTCTCAAAATTTAAACAGATCCTGTAGTTCAAATATTTGTAAACTTAGATGCGAACGGGGCCCGATAAGTCGAAGAGCTCGTGTGTATAGTTTTGCCGGCAAGTCAATATAATCGTTACAGTGCAAACACTTTGATTTATACGTTTATACATATAACAGGCGTGTTGAGGGTCCCAAAACGATAGTATCTCGGCACGAGATTCAACATAATATAGACAAGCCGATATTGACTTACAGTCTATAGTTTATACTTAAATGATTATAAATAATAAGGTATCATTACTATTGTAATATAGTGAGATGACATATCATAGCAGCTAATAGTTAATATAATATTATAATATCATATTAATTTATGTTGGAGTAAAAGACGATTCGAACAATACGACTGCAATATTCCCTGACTGGACTTGCTGCAACGTTGCATTAAAACCACATTCAATATTAATTAATTAATCTTTAGACCCGACGCGGCGGTGGTAAAAACAATTGATTTGGTGTTTATTCCGAAGTGACAGTATAATATTATAGTCGCGCTTTAATTTGTCAAAAGCAACGGCCATTTAATTAAAAAGAAACAGCATTTAATAATAATAATAGTTTATAGTACTACTAGACTGCAGATGCTGTTTTAATTGCAACGGCAATAATATTATGCGTATTAATAACGAATTGATAACGAATTATTCAATATTTAGAAACAATTAAATACGATTTACGTATACTTCAGGTCTAATTGATAATGACCGATATACATTTATGTGTTTAGCAGAGAAAGAATCAATCCCCTAAAAAAAAATTTTAATATTTTTCAACTCGACAAAAATTTTAAATTAAATAAATATTAATTTTTAAAGTTTTATTTTAAATATTCACGTATAAATACACTTTGTATTTTTAATGCTGAAGCTCTGCGAGTGATATCTTTTTGAAAATAATCACATACAAATAATATCTATTGTAAAAATTTGTATTTGTTTAATTTTATAATAATAATAATAATGACTTTAGTTGGTTAATTAACATAATTAAAAATATTGTTTTTATTATTTTTTTTAGGTGCGTTTCTTATACCGTATGTGGTGATGTTGGTATTCGGCGGTTTGCCTTTGTTCTACATGGAACTGGCACTGGGTCAGTTTCACCGATGCGGTTGTCTAACAGTATGGAAGAAGATTTGCCCGGCTCTTAAAGGTAGGGTGTTTATATTTTCACATCCCAACTACTCGTGGAATGCTTTGTGAGCGAAAACAATATACCTAAAGGAATGTTCTATAGTAAAACAATTTGCCAGGGAATTATCATTTTTGAACCAAGGGTGTATAGGTACGCGTTTAGATTTAAGAAGGAGAAATAAAAAGGTTTCATGAATCGAAAATACTTTGGATGAATATCCGGTATTTTATGACAATACGGCAGAGGATCTGTCTGCTATATATTACTTGAAATCAAGTTTTTTTTTTTGTTGTATTTATTCTCTTGTTTTATGCTGCAGTATAACTGTACAAAAGAATGACTAAGAAATTGAAAAAAAAAAAAAATGAAAGACATAAAATAAGTACAAATAGTAGGCCAGGAATGAATATAAAAACCATCGATTTTATAAAGGTACTTTCAAGTCTACGACAAACATTGAGCCTTTGAATTATACATTAAATGCAAAAACGGGGGAAAAAATAAACAAATAAAACGATAGAGCTTATTTAAAACGGTGTGGCGGCTAGCAATAAATCATCAGCCAACAGGGAAATATTATATGGTTGCTTCAAATATTTGGTTACTTACTTTACAATTGTTTGTATTTCTCTCGTCGTCGTCCCCGCATTATCCCTATAGTAAATTTTTAACAATTGTTCAAAATTGAAATAATTGAAAAATAAGAAATATCTCTTCTTCGGACTTTTTAATAATAGACTTGAACATTATCTTATAACTCTTGCGGGATATAATTTGTAATATTTAAATTTTAAACCTTAATTTGTTATTTAGTTTGAGATATTCAATAGATAATAGTTTATAATAGATGACCAATTTTCTAAAAAGTTAAGAAATTCCGAGGTAATGAGTGATATGGTTCATAAATAAACCATATCAGTAAGTACAATCATGGGTCGGAAATTAACTATTGAACAAATCTATTATAATTTTATTGTTCAAAATCTTGTCAAATATAAGTATGTTTGGCCTATGTTAATACCTATACAATTTTGTTCAAAGTCTCACCGCTAGATAAACTTTTCTAGAATCAAAAAATATTCTTATTCTATTATTACATTACGGAAACATTAAAATAATTTATATATTATTGTAGGTATTTGTATTATATCAAGGGTATGAAAAAAAAGAAGATATTATCCACTTGTGATTCAATATCATTATAATATATGAATTACAAATATTTTGAATTAATTTTCAAAAAAAAAAAAAAAAAAAGAGATAAAAGATTTTGAATAAATAACAAAGTATTTCTTTCAGATGATTTTATAATATCTACTTAAATGTTTAATTTATGAGTTCTAAAAGTAAACGTTTTTATATTATAATTGGTCAATTTAACTATTTAAACAAAATACAAGATATAGGGTACATAATATTATAATGAAATGCAAATTATAATTTTTAAAGTGTTTATTGAATATTTCCGATGTGTATATTTTATTTATTTAATTGTTAAACATATTATTTGAGTAGATATTATGCTATGATATTAAATATTAATATGATGTAAACTACAGTGTAGGTACATCGGATATGTATTGTTTGTTTGTATGGTGATTTTCCGATCGATTATTTTTATATTTCACATAAAACATAATATATTTTTTATACAAACAGTCTTCTTGGATTCTGAATGTAGCGAAGTATAACTATACATTTTACTAAGAAATATTATTTTTTTCTTAGAAACACTTTTTTTGGTTATTAAAAATGCTGCGATTCTTTCACGCGGTATCTTATAAACATGAGTAATTTACACGTGAGAAAGGGAGCGAACAACTTCGATCCCGGGGACAGTCAATCACACTCGTGTTTTTCTCATTTAGTCCACGTGAAGAGTTCCATCCATTTTCCCGCGGTATTATACTAAATGCTCCGTCTAGATGTATAAGTCTGCGTAGCGTATAATATAATATGATGTACCAAAGTTTATCACTTATAGCTGCGGATAGGTACTAATACGTACTCGTATATAATGAAAAGTATTCGACCATCAAATCGACAAGTCGGCCTGTAACTCGTACGAACGAAAAAGTGGTGAGAACGTAGTTATTTTGTATCACGCGGGGATGGAAAAAAAAAACTCGAACCCTGATTTAGAAACGCGGTCTGACCTTAAGCAATTTACCATTGTCAATATTGACGTTCGATGTAACAGTTTTCGGAGTATTCGTTGCGCCGCCGTTTTGTTCGCGATCGGGACCCCAAAACGACTGTAAATATTTAAACACCGCCGAGGCGGACGTGGATATTCAAATTGATAGGGTATATAGATTTTTATTTGTGTGTGCATGGAACGAGAAATTAACGAGGATGACGAAAAAAAAATATAATTAAAACGACGACGAAATAATTTTCGCAGCGCGACTGTGTATATACTCGTATTATAAAATTCGTCGTCGTCGTCAATTTTGTTTTTTCGATTTTCGTAAAAAAAAAAAAAAGTATTATAATGTAGTTTGTGTTGTTTATTTCGAAATTGTTCCTCCTCATCGTCACTTATATTATACTAGCCGGCTGCAGTGCTCTTGTCCGCGTCGCCGGACGTCTCATTATATTATATTTTTGTAGCTTTCCTTGTCGTTTGTCTGTACGTGATTTTCGCCATATCGTCACCGGAGACGGAAACGCGCGTGGCACGAGACAAAATAATGATTTGGCCAATAAATATGAAACGACGTCGGCAGTGTAGTATAGTAAAAGAAAAATTACCGTGCGAGTTTTTTTTCCGCCTCTCCTACATCCCGTCAATACCCAATACCTGCAATTATTATTCGCGGATCGTCAATTTCACCTTTTGTTGTTTTTTTTTTTTTTTTTTTCTATTGCTACATTATGTTTCTGCGTCGTGGGAGCCGATTTGGTCCCCGAAGTTCCGAATAAAATAAAATATAATAGACGCTCTACACCAATCCGCAGCAACGGCCGATAACGATACAATACTATTATAACAAACCTACGAAAACTTTTCGGGCGAGCAAAAAGAGTATTTCTTGCAATTTCAATAGGGAACCGCACATCCCACCTATACGACTTTTCGCTGTTAAATATTTTACTCCATTCCCGTGCGCATGGACTATAAACGATTTAACAAAATATGAAACGTAAGTTTTATTTATTTTTTCCACTTTTAATTTCACAGAGCCGTAAAACACTAAAAATAATCCTTAACTTATGAAATTCGAATTGTATTTGTTTTTTTTTTTTTTTTAACAAGTGTGTAAATTTGTGTTCGATTTTTACTTCGTCCGTCCATAAAACTGATTGATTGATCTATATTTTACCGGATGATCAATCCTCGATAAAATGCGCGTTATTTCAGAAAGTATTATCTATTTTCAAAAGCAGGTGGTGATTTCACTACCAAAAATAAAAACAACGGAGAATAATGATGATTTATCATTTTAAAATTTTCCAAAAAGAATTCCGAAAACTGTCATTCTGTTAAACACTCATTAATATTTTCGTAAATTTTATTGTGACTTTATCTATGAACGTTATAGGTGATAACGATAATATCGAGGCGATGTTAACTAGTTGACTACCCACTCGACACTATCGCAAATCACCTTTTATATATTGCGTCCTAAATCATATATTTGACAAAGCTAATGGTTATATTTCCTAAAGGGATCATAAGAATTTAAATTTGAACACGGTTAAATTGTTTTCAAATATAGTTTCGAATTTGTTATTGGATAAATTAAATTATGATACTATTTGAAAATCAAAAGATGGTATAACGGTTCGATGATGCAATTAGGAGGGAGTGAAATTGGAAGTGATTTATTATTTCAAAAAACTGTCCGGAAATTTTGTTGAAAAGCATAACCTACCCCCAGCTGAAAATGAATCTTGATTATGTCGCTTTAACGATTCCACCCTCAAACAAGAGGGTGAACAAAATAATGGAACTGTAACATTTTGGAGTAGCTTAACGCTCGTTTCTTATATTTTTCAAAAATAAAATTCCAAAAAATGCTTTACTTTCCGAGATATTGCGTGTCTGACACTAGTAGATTGATGACCCTGTATACCTATTATATATAGTAGCGTTTCGGTGCTTTTGACCGCATTACAATTTTTAAATACGAACAATACTATTTGTATATATACTTTTTGTTTTGTTCATAAAAATCAAAATGTAAAACAACTTTAAGAAAAACCAATATTACACAATAAAGAAATACAATTATTATTATTATATATATATATATTTTTTTTTTTTACCGTAGCTAATTGTTACAAATAACGTCATTAGCTACGTAAATAGTTGAAACGAATAAGAAAACCATTTCAAAATCCTTTTTACACTTAGGTATCATGTTTTAATCTTATCAGCTTTTTGTTTATGTTCCTACCTATATTTTGTGCCAGAGTTGAAGGTACCTTACACAGAAACAGAAATGCCGTTTTCTACGCGTATGTTTTTATTATAAGTGCTTGGATAATAAATTTACAACGATTAAATATAAAATCCAAAAAGTATGCATAATTATTAATTAAGCTAATTACGTTTACGTAAAAAATAATAATGAAAAAAAAAAACAAATTCGTGGAGACTAATAATAATGAAATTATTTTAGTACATTAATATAGTAATATTTTGAACAACGCTTCGTTATATATAAACACAAATATACTATTATAGCATCAGAACGTATGTCCTGAGTTTTTTATAAACTTTATTGGGAATTTATAGACAAATGATTAAACCGCAGAATTATGGTAGAAACTGGAATGTATAATATTTTCACAACTTTCAATAAAACGAGTTTAAAAATCATTATACATATATATCATCTAATAAATTAAGTCGAAATACTAAAATTAATTTCCCAATACTATAGTTAAGTGACCAAATATAAAGATATAGCATTTTTTTACCATCATATATATTTTGCTTAAACTACGGACATATTGTATTTTGTCATCTTAGTATATTATCAAAGTAATAATTTTTCATCTATTTGTAACAGGCATATTAAATGTTGCTATGCTATTTATTAACCAATAGTGTCTTTGTCTGTATAGTCATTGCTCATATAGACGATGTATTAAGCGTGCGAAACATATCATTTTTTGCCAGAATACAAAATTTTCCAACTTTAGATTATAAAAAGATCAACAAAAAATGACATAATATCGCTTCTGTTACAATTCTATGACTAGTTGAATATATTGTAATATAATGTTAGTCTTGTTCAATGTCCATTTCAAGTTATTTTATTAGAGTAGACGTCACATCTTATCTATTGATTTTAAAAATATCTTTTTGACTTTTATTTTAACCGATTATTTTTCTCTCAAAGACCACATAAATTATGTATGGAATTATATGACTTTTGACCGATAGAAAAAATAATATTATAACGGGTCGGCCGATTTTGTTGGAAATGTTTTAATTCAAGACGGGGTCTTATTTTTCTGGACCGTTTATTATAGTCATGCTGCATCAGCTGTTGTTTCACGACATACGTTTCGTATTAATATCCATTCCGCAGGTGTGGACTTGATATTATTTTATAAATCCTTATCATAATTCGGAATACATTTCCAAGAAATTCTAAAACAATAATTCTGACTTTCTTGGTTTTCGTAAAAAAAAATAGAATTATAATGCAGTTATATTATAATTCTAATTTAGAATTTTCGTCTTTAACTGTAAAATAATCATGCAATTGTATCCATAATCAAAGTATTGGGAGAGGTATTTGCTAATCATTTGTATATTCAGTTCAAATTATTAATAAAAATATTCCATGTTTCTAGAACATGTTTTATATTTCGTCAATATGTTTTTTTTTTAAGTAATTTGATTTATTCATTATTAGATTTTTATTTTGAACCACGATAAAAAATTACACAATAAAATATATATTTCGTTTATCATATTTACACGTCGTATAATATCATTCGAGAAAATATTATATTAAATTTTGTAAATTTTTTCCTCCTATTAGATAGGTATTTCGAGTTAGACACTTCAATACATATATAACGATTATACTAATGAATTGTTTTACACCGGTAAAGCGTATTTTCGTGTATATATTTCACATCGTTATTTACACCGCAACGACGGTCAACTGTTTATTATTTAAACAGATATATTCATTTGTTTGTCAGGAAAATTTGTTCGCTTGTATACTAAATGATTTCAATTATAAGTGCGTCTAGCGTGTGTCTAGTTAAACGGACGACAAATTGAATACAAGTCGAAAGTCTGACGTTATAATATATAAATACACAAATTGTATTTAAATTTATTTATTATATGTTTTGAAAGATAAAATAATATCATTATTTATTTGACTGTAACCGTGTTAAGGCTAGTTTATTATCGAACCATACAACCATATTTGTACGTAATTGTATTTAAAGTTTGATGATTTAGGTAAATTATTTATTGTAATAATCATATAAGGTTTTATAACAGTTTTATTTGTCAATTAAATATCTCCTGTTAACTCCTCCCGTAAAAAAAATTCACAATTTAATAGTTGTTTAATATTAATTAGGTATATTTTATAGAATATTAATTTTAAATATTCACTGCGCCAGGTGTCACTCTTAAAATGTTTACCATAATAACGCTTATATAAAAAAAAAAAATGTATAAAATTAATTTAATGCAATTTATAGTTTCATAAACACTGATCAACTCTAAAGCTTACTTTAAAGAAGGAAAGTTTCAAAAATATATTTTTTTGATTATTTGCAATTAAGGCCTTAAATATTTATAATAATCAAAGTATAAATTAAGTGTTGTATTAAATTTCTTATAATAATTATTATTTGTAATTTATTCATGAAACGACAGTGTTCACCAACAAAATAACAAAATAAGATTTTAGTTTTTCAGGTAGTTTGTTGGGTAATGAAAAAGCGTTACTAAAACGAGTTTTTTATTTAATAGATGTATGATTTTGTGTAGTGAAAAAACAAAAGAAACAATTTCAGTAGGAAATTTAATTTTAAAAAGATGGACATACTTCTCACGATTGGTGAGCCACTATTCTAAGTGAGAAGTTAAGAAGGTAGGACCAACGATAAACCATTGCGGAGAGAAATTTCTTTTTTACATGTACCTACATTTTGTAGTTTTTCCTACGTTTTTTCTCGGTTTTTCCCAATTATTATGAAAACTGCTTGACAAATCAAAAAAATGACTTTTTTAAAATGGCAACTAAATAAAATTTTCTTTCAGAAAAAGTGCTACATCAAGGTTATAAATCAAGGTTATATACAATAAGATTTCTGGTAGAAAAGTAGTACACAGAATAATAATAATAAAAAAATTAAAACTAGAGATCATCTTAACATACATATGTACCATGATTTTTAGAATATAAAAAAAAAAAACAGAACAATACATTATAGCCAACCCATATTTATGAATATTCATTAAACAAATAATAATTAAGATTATGATATTTAAAAAATAATATAAAAGATATTTAAAAATAGTCCAAGAGAGATTGACGATGGGATTTTTAATTTTTTTAAAAAATTATTTAATACGTAGATATATCGTGTTTTGTTAATCTAGACTTCTCGAATCGGAGTTAGCGTTTCATTTAAAATCTCGAATCAAATAAGTTTTGCGTATAATTAAATAGACAGTATTAACATAATTTGGATATAATTCAATCATATTAAGTCATATTTTCGAATGCGCGCTGTGTTTTCGCTGTTAATTTATATCTACTGAACTCACGTGACAATATTATTGGTAATATGCCCAATTAATATTTGCAATTAATGATTCTATTCATAAAACGTGTATACGAACCCCATATTAAAACGAATATCCGACGAAACGGCTACAACAGCTGTTCGGGGACGTCAATTTGGAATATTGTTCGAAAAACCGATCGAAATTGAATTAAGTGCCGCTTGATCTCATCGTCGTACATGTTATACGAATACAGTTGTCATATACTATTTTAATGTCGAATCGTATAAGAAAACGTTATTCCCGCATATATACAGTCTCAGTTTAACTTACGTGAAACATAACAAAATTATGTTACTTAGAATGTAAATTGTGATATTTATGTTGAAATTAGAGTTTAAAAATTACATAAATAACAAAATTTAAAGAGAAAAATATTTTTGAGGGTTGTAGATTTTGTAAGTGATGACTTTATGGCCATATTAGTTACTGAAAATTTGCTCCAATCGAAAAATGACAAGAGGCTTTTTTTTGTTGTATCTATTTGGAGCATTAGAAGGGAAATTTTTTTGATTTTCTAAGGGATTTTCTATTGAAAAAACCCAGAAACCAGATTATAGGAAAAACAGGAAATATATACGGTGCACCGCGGCATTAAACATTTCATTATTTCTAATTTGTATGCATAATGTTTTCTACCAGAAATATTGCTTTAATCAAAAATACTCAATGACTTTATTTATTTTATTTTGAATCATGTTTCTAAGAAAGTAAGTAGTTTTTGGATTTTCCTAACAGTTTTCATAATAATTTGAAAAACCAGAATAACGCATAAAATGAACACTGCCAATTTTACGGTATTACGATTTCATTATTTAAAATTTGTATTCTATAATATGTTTTATACTAGAAACATCACGCATATTGAAAAACGGCAAGAGAACTTTTGTGCTAAATTATAGATCCAGTTAGTGAGTAAAACAGCAATTTTTTTGATTTTCAGTGCAGTTTCCTTAATAATTAAGCAATAATAATGGTTTTATTACTTTCAATATAATTTATTGTTGTAATTCAGTTAAAAATATTCGTAAAAACTTAGATTTATGACAAAATGAATATTCGTCTTTTATAGATGTGATCAAAGTTTCAAAACATTTTGGCGAATAGTGGCCTAGTTATAGGAATTTTGTTTTCATTTTTTTACGTAATTTTTATTTGGTTGGTACTATGTGGATTTAATTGTTTGACCAAATCAAAATGCTTTAAAATTTATTAGTAAGTTTATTATACGTTGTACTAATTAGTTAAAAAAATAAAGGTAGAGTATAATGTAGTATTTTTATTTTTTTTTGGTTTGAAATCGTTTTAAGATCAAATTTTTATGAATATCGTAAATATTACGGCCTTTCAATTTCAAATCATGTATAAACTGTGCTCTAAATCGTTTTTCCTTTAAAATGGCTTATCGTTGCTTACAAATAAAAATTAAGTAACTTTATGTATCCTACCTTTCCAACTTTCCATCTATAACAGCGGTGGAAACAGTTCTTATTTTTTCTGTTTCTAGGAAAAATATTTTCTTTAAATTTTGTTATTTGTGTTTAAACTCTTATTTCAACCTAATAGCTACAACTCAAGTTCTAATACTCGTAAGTTATGCTATGTTGTCCGTTAATTACACTGAGGCAATTATTGATCCAGGTGTGGCTAGTAGCGTGCAAAGGGGGGGACGATAGAGGTTAATCCCCCCAATGCACATTGACTTGAAAAATACTAAAAATATGAGTAATCTAATATTAAATCTCATGTATTTCAATCAAGTTACGAGAAAAGTTGATGTATTGATTCAAAATTAGCTATTTTTAGGATCTGGCTTTCAAATTAACCAATGCTCATAGTTAAGATGGGTAGAGATCATGATTGTACGATTTATTCACGATTCTTATTTGCCACATCTTCTCCCATTGGAAATTCCTAGACACGCCAATGGATAGTGGGTGTCCTCTTAAACGCGAATTAAATATTTATGTCGATAAATTAATATTGTATTACATTCATAGCTATTATAGACAATATGTTTGCCTATGGTTGTCTTTTTTTTAAACAAAAAAAAAAACACATATGTAAAAAAACTAATATCCAAGTATGTGTTTTAACCTTGTGAAAATTTCTGTTTCCGATTTGTATAAAAAAAACCAGACATATTTCGCACGACGAGTGGGCTACTATTTTAAGTGAGAAGTCGGGAAGGTAGGATATGGAGGAGAATTTTATTTATATCTGCACGCAATGATAAACCATTAATAATAAAAATTGACTCGGAACGAAGTTCGGTTTTTTGAAAGGCTGTAATATTTACGATTTTCGTCAAAGTTTGCTATTAAAATTCTTATAAAAAAAATTAATACTACATTAAACTAATTTTTTTGACCATAAAGTACGACTTAGAATGAAAATATTGTTAAATTTTCAAGCATTACTGTTTAGTTTAACAATTGTATTTACAGAGTACCTAGCGCATAAAAATTAACATAAAAAACTCGCAAAATTAAAATGTCTACAAATAGTTCAAAAATGGCTATGCAAATTGTATCACGCTTAAAGAAATATAATCGTTTTATCCAAATTTCAAGTTTCTACGAATATTTTTAACTGAATTACAACAAGAGAACAAAATTGAAAATAATAAAAGCCTTTTTCTACGTTATTTTCCAGTTTTTCCTAATTATTATGAAAACCGTTCGGAAAATGAAAACATTACCTTCCTTCAGTACTAACTAGACAAAATTTCTGGTATAAAAGTTGTTTACTGTAAAAAAAAAAAAAAAAAAATAATAATAATGATAAACTCATTTTAAAACCAATACATTCCTTGCTACGTTCCAGATTTGAAAAAATTCTTTACATTTCTAACATAAATATAATGATACAGGTTTTTATATTTTAACAAGTATTATGGGTAAAAGGTATAGCACCTAATGCAAATCAGGAATATTGTGTGAAAACTGACCGCTGAAGCGTGTCGAGAAACACCTGGTTGGTGCGATTTCATATTTTGATAACCACCCATTTCACCTACGGCTACCCGCCCATTTATTAACAACACCTCCCTACTTTAAAATTATACAAAATTATATTTTTTTTGATATTGATGAATATTAATGATGTTATAAAAGCCCCCGTTCAACAGAAAAATTAGAGATTAAATATACTCATATATGAAGTTTATTGACTTTCTTTATTCTTATAGTATAAAACTTAAACTGTTATAAATAGTGATAGGCATAACCGACTAGTTTCTTCTTACTATCGAACTATACGATAAGTTAAAAACCATTCGAATAGATTTTCGATATATTCGATAGTTTTCCCGAAGAAAATTATTCGGTTTAGATAACAAATATTCAAATACATTCAATAATATTCAATAGTTTATCCAAACAGTCAAAAACTACCAATAAGTACTCAAGATAAATCCGGTATCAAATTTATGGGTACAAAAAAAATTTAGAAAAATATTCTTTATTCGAATTTAACTGTGTTTAAAAAAGGGATTTCTTCTTGAAAATCAAATGTATACTTTTTTATGGTATAAATTATAATTTGTTTATATTCTTCCAGACTAAACTTTAAACTGTATAAACGGTAAATGGTAAATTAGTCCAATCCATATAGAAAAATATCTTCTATTCAAATCAATGTTAAAAGGGGTAAGGGGTTCCTATTTGAAAATTTAAAATGTTAACTTATTTCAACTATGGATAGTGTTCAATAGTATTTTAGATTTGGAGCGTAGTGAAGAATATATTTGTTTTACAATGATGTTCATTTTTATTTGATTTTTTTTTATCTGTGAACAACTTTTCTACTAGAATTCTTGCTCCGATTTTCAAGTGCATGATCTTTCTAAAAGATATTTTATCTGGGTGATACTATAAGGAGGTTGTGTTTTGATTTCCTAAACGGTTTTTATAATAATTGAGAAAAACCGAAAAAAAACAAGAAAATGTACGTACATGCAAAAAAAAAAAACATCGCTCAGAATCGTTTTATATTAGCAATGGTTAATCGTTATAAATCGTTATAGATTTACATTAAATTTTCCCTCTTCATTCCCAACTTTTTCACCTTCAACTGTGGCCTACCCACGTGCGAAGTATGCCCGTCTTTTTTATCCATGATTTGTGGTCATAACATTATTTTGGGCAATAAACGACTTGAAAATATATACTTTAGAATTAAGTTATATCTATACTATTTTTTTATTAAGTTGTAGAAAAATATATTTATATATTGGGCCCCTTTGGGCTGTGGCTGTTTACCTACAAGTATAAGTATAAATATATGATTATATTACCTATTATACAGAGTGATTCAAAATGTATGTTACAGTCATTTTATCATTTAAATATTCAAAATAGGGAAATATGTATAATATTAAAGTTTTTGATTATTAAATATCTAAATAATTTTGTTATTTAATAAACTAATTGGTACACTAGGCACTTGTGTGGTGGCACAACGCGACGTGTGGCGTTTCCATATTGTTCAACTACTTTCCCTCTACCGGCCCTACCTAAACTATAAAATCAAATATCTGGTTAACGGGTTGACGGAAATCAAAAATTTCTACACCAAAATGTATATTTTAAACTATCACTCCATCTTTTTATGGAATTTAGAATATAGATTCTCTTTTGAATTTCAAAAGTTGACTCCCAACCTATATCTCTCCCACCTCCAAAAAAAAAAACAGTAATAAAAAATAACAAACTATCAAATTTATGTGTTCATAAATCGGAAAACTTATGCATTACACATTTTTTTCAATTATAAATATTTACATGGTAAAATAAATTGTTTAACATAAATATTGGGTTAATCTGTTTAATATATGTGTAAATAAAAAAAGCTGTCCAAGGATAATTGGGAAGGACCTAGCCATTTTTATAGGCGAGAAGTTGAGAAGGTAGTAGAGGGGAATGTATATTGAATGTATATCTGTACGTAACGATTAACCACTGTTAACGGGAAAACGGTTCTGAGCGGAATTCAGTTAAGTGTTGGTTTCAGAAAAAGTGCAAAGTTTCAGCTAGAAAAGTTATTAATACATAGATAAACAAAAAAACAAATCTAAAAAAATAAACATTATAATAAAACCAAAACATTCCTCGCTCCGCTCAGAATCTAAAATAAAGATTATTACGTATTAAGTATTAAACAACTTATTGTTGTATATAATACAAAATATTTGAATTTTGTATTCTCTTTTAAGTAGTAGGTATGTGATTTTGTTGATAAAAAGTAGAGATTATTGAAAGTGAACTATTTTCTCTTTTTCCCTGCAATAGCATAACCATCATCACTGTCTTGCTTCGGAGTTTTATTTTTAAATTTATTAACTTTCAGGTGTTGGATACGCAATATGTTTGATCGATATGTATATGGGTATGTATTACAACACTATAATCAGTTGGGCAGTATACTATCTATTTTCGTCGATGAGATCCGAATTACCCTGGACCAGTTGTGACAATCCATGGAATACGTTGAACTGTGTTCCGGTGACAAATTTGACGAAATTCATTAACATGACGAGCCCGGCCAAAGAATTTTTCGAGTAACAGAATTTTATCAAAAAAAAATTAAAAATTGTATATATTTGCACATAGTATACTTGAATATTTAAATTGTAATAATAATTATGTTATTTGAAACGTAATCGTTTCACATAATATGTTATATACTCTACCCTAGTGGCGCATATGTGATTTACCAAGTAATGTCAGTTGCGTGTGCTCTCTGCTCTCGAGAAGTGTGAGTACAAATAACTGGTGTATTGGTGTCACTAGTAAAAAAACCTTTGAAAAAACGATGATGCGACACTTTGGTTAACTGCATGACGTGCTCTCAAAATTTCTCTGTGCACCACAGCAATTTATCTATTTTCGTGTATTATTTTCCTTATTATTTATTATTGTTATGTTATGTTATTTTTTTTTTTTTAAATCGAGATCGTTAATATTGTTGTTTTTGCAGGAGGAGTGTTCTAGAACAACACAGGGCCGACGGATTGGAGAGTATTGGAGGAATAAAATGGTCGTTGGCTTTATGCCTATTAGCCGTGTTCTTGTTGGTGTATTTCTCACTGTGGAAGGGAGTGAGAAGCACGGGCATTGTGAGTTTTCCGTTTAAAATTTTGAAGAAATTTATTGGTTTCCCTAGTATTTTTTTAGTTTTTCACACCCTTCCGGATCCCCCAAAATGAAGCCAGAGGGGTGTAATTTTGTGCATTCATGGTGTAAATATCAAGGTAGTATGTTTGGGGTTTTTCATTTTCAACTCCCCTTCACAATCACAAAACATTTTCACAGCAATTAACTGGTTTTTAATAAATTATATGAAAACAAAAATTAAGTATTATAACGCAGTGAAAAGTCAGATGAGAGAAAATACAACTCTAGTGACGAAGCTCTGCTGCTCACGGGTGATTTCTTTTTTTGGAACTCGGTAAAAAATAATTTTAGAAACCTGAATTTTCACAGACTACTTATATTAGACTTTTTTAGAGTTTTTTTTTTATTTTCGGCAATACGTAATGTAACTAGATATTTTGTACAAATCTCGTATCCTTTATATTCCCGGCACGATTTTCGAAGTCCTTGTACATAATATTACACTCCTTATAGAGTGTAATATAATAATATGTGCGTATAGTGGTGCGGTTTATTCGCCGGGCGAAAGGAAAAAAAAAAAAATACCGACTATAAATATAATATGTTCGGCCACGAGTTCGGGGTGTCTGTGTATACTGCCAATCAGTCTAAGTAGCAGACCGTCTTGTTATTATGCAGCGAGCTTGGCTCATTACCCGATAAGTGTATAAGTTATCGTACACTCATGTTTTTGAAATCAACCACTCGCTGACCCAGTATACCTATACGTGTGTGTGTGTGATTGAACATTGCTATTCCCTACCCCGTGTAATCCATATATTACTCGTGTTTTTATCTCTCCGACGTCTAATGAATTATAGATTGAACCGTCGTCGTCGTCGCACCGTGTGCGATTTTTTTCTTTCCTCCACCCCGATCATCTCCGAGATTCTCGATTAAACGTTATACACAACCACCGCTACCACCAACTCCCAACCCCTGATACACTCTCGCGGGACCGCAATATAATAGCTAAACACAGTCCTGCTGCTCGCTGACTAACGCTCAAAGCCAACGCAGATAACCCTGTTTACCTGTTTTATTTATATTATTGCTATACATGTGATTTCAGGCTGTTTGGGTCACGTCTCTCGCCCCTTACGTCGTATTGTTTATGTTGCTGTTCCAAGGTATCTCGTTACCGGGCGCCGGAGAAGGAATACGATACTATCTAACGCCGCAGTGGCACAAACTCGTCAACACCAAGGTGCGGACAACAAATCCGAAAACTTGTCGGTTTATTGTTATCGAGCGGTATCCGCGGTATATTTTATTCGTACGGATTTTATATATATACATATAGGTATGGATAGACGCGGCGTCGCAAGTGTTCTTCTCGCTGGGTCCAGGGTTCGGTACCCTGCTCGCTCTGTCCAGTTACAACAAGTTCAACAATAACTGCTACTGGGACGCCATTTTGACCAGTTCAATAAACTTCCTCACTAGTTTCCTGGCCGGTTTTGTAATATTCACCATGCTCGGCTACATGGCGCACGTTCAAAACAAGAGCATATCCGAAGTGGGCACCGAAGGTAAGTCTCAAGATATTAGGTCTTCGTGATCACTCTATTCACTTAATTTCTTTTGACTTACAGGCCCGGGTTTAGTGTTCATAGTCTACCCAGAAGCCATTGCCATGATGACCGGCTCGGTCATGTGGGCCATAATATTCTTCTTGTTACTTATTACATTAGGTACTGTATTATAAAATGTATAAATATTATACATTAATTCTATGTTATAAATAAATTTTGTGTTTATTTTTAGCAATGAGTTAGAAAAAAAATTATTGACTGATACTTTTTCACAGACATTTTGATAAATCATAATGTTGAGATATATTTGCATTCCACGACTTCGAAACGTTTTTATACTATTTCATAAATTATTTTGTAATAATAAAAGTTGAAAATTGTAATAATTATTCTACTTTATCAGATATAGTCGTAATCAGTGGTATAACCAGGATTTACCAATGAAGGGAGATTAGGGGTCTAAGAGGTTTAGAGGTCTACAACTTTCTTAAATTTACTCATATCTGAAAAAATCAGTAAGGGAAGGGGAAGTTACACAACCCGAAAACCCCTGGCTATGCCAATGATCGTAGTTTTCTGAACAGAAAAATACCAATCCGGTGATCGTCTGTAAACGTAATATCTCTTATCCTATGTATTGATTTCTGCAATAAACATAACAGCTAGATTAACACGCTGATTTTTCCTGTAATAAGTCGATTAAACAACCGAATAAAATAATTACATTCACAATTTGCTAAATATCGGCAACCTTTGAGAAATCGACAGTTCGGTACGTGAACCATAATCTTGCATTAACCACGATCGTGATTGGACTATATTATTAATTCTATAGTTAGGTCTAAAAACGAAATAATTGTTTCGCTTGTCAGTCGATTTATTCCATTGGGACACCCTCGTTAACTTCCTATAGCCGTATATAATACCCATAGACCATATAGGTAATTATCGACTGCACATTTAACTCCCATCTCTTATTGCACGGCTACTAGACATTAAGTAAAAGAGATACAAATATGTATACATTATAATATTATAATATTTTTTCCATGATTAGTTTATCCAATAGTGCTTTTGTTCAATATAGACCTATTTTTTCTCTCGCTATGCGCGATCCATAGCAGTAAATATTAACCATGGTTTGCATGGCGGCATATGCGTGCGTAGACTTCTGTGGCAGGTATGGCTAAATTTCAACTAACTATACCCACCCTCCCGTGGCTATAACTCAAAAAAAATTGTAGACATTTTTCATAAAAACTTCAAGAGTGACTTCTTGTTGATGACTGGCAAATGTTAACATCAATTTTTTATTACGATCACGCATACGATTCGTCGTCATCAATAATTATTTAAGGAAATCGCCGAATAAAATAATTTAAAAAATTCAGAACTAATAACATATAGTCACATGATTTAATAAAATGAAAATATTAAAAATAAATTGCTATTTATAAATAGTTCATACATTCATAGATTTATACATTTAATGTATTCATACACAATGAATACAATACATACAAATATTTCTCCCGTCTAATGAAAAATAAATACTGTACATATTAGGTATACTTTATATTTTATAATATTATTCTAAGACTTCCAATTTCTTTAATTTTTTAATTCGTCAATAATTTGTGGCAGATCCAGTCGATCCGGGACGAGGTGACCAGTAGTTTTTTAATAATTTTATTTCTTTCGCATTAAATAAAATAAAGTTTAAAAATATAAAATATCTTCACTATTCTGAATCGTATACGGTTATAATAAGTATAATTTGATATACTTATGTATAGTACAGGTAGTAACACAATTTGGTAGTTGGTTGTATACTTTCTATATGTTTAGTTTCTTGAATAAATATATAAACACTTAAAAATTAAAAACCCTATAATTATTTTTAGTTAAAGTTACAACTTCATAAGTCACTCAGTATCTACCCACGTATAAAAAAAGACTAAAAAAAGGTGGGATTATAGAGCCCAATCAGATATACCTGTGCGCACAACTATGCGTGTAGGTCAAAGTGGCTGAAAAGTGATTGGATGGACGGGAGAATTAATTTTAATATTATGCATAATATCACCAAAAGGGATTTTTTCACAACGGCTCCGATTGTGGTTATTAGTGATAAATACCTAATCTGTGTACTACAGAATTGAACGATATTTTGAATATAATCGATCGTGTCTTTCGAAGATCCGTACAAAATAATTAATTAATCAATATATTTTATTTACGGAGCTATGTGTATGTGCGATTTTATAGGTTTGGACAGTACATTTGGCGGTTTGGAAGCGATCATAACCGGTCTTTGTGACGAATATCCGAACGTATTAAAGAGACACAGAGAATTATTCGTGGCCGGTTTAGTAGCGGTGATTTACATATTATCGTTGCCGACCACTACATACGTAAGTGAAACAATTTTAAAATTTTGAAACCATATTGTTAGAATGGACATGATGGGTGTAATAGACTAATATTTTATAATGATATACGTATTTAAATTTTATTTTGTATAACAATTAATGGGAGTAATATTATAAAATTCGACAAGGCACTTTTAAATCGGTTTATTTTTTTTTTTTTAGTGATGGATATTCTCGAATAGTTTTTACTACCGAAGGTTTCATTCGAATGTTTTCTCCATAAGCGAATCGATATAAACGTATCGAATTTAGTTCGAATGCGATCAACTATATAATAATGTTATATACGAATAGTTCAATATAGTTACTATTCGGTTATGTCCATCAGTAATTTTTTTTATAATATACGTTTGATAAACATTTAAGATAAATGATAGCCGTATCAAATTGAAACTAACCTATATTGATTTCAACTTAATGGACACGCCTATTAACCGCAGAAATAAGACAATGAGTAGGTACTCGGAAAATCGACTTAGTAAACTATATAACATTAAATCTTTATCGCTATAATAAATTTAATGTGATGGCAACTTTATTCGACGTGACGGTTGATTTACACTGTATTCGATTTTCAAAAGATGTATCTCATGGATAATTATTTTAAACATTTCCCGTCGTCAATCATTGTGATGATTAACAATTGAGTGATGAGTACCTATATTATATGAGTTTTTATTATACACAGTTTAAATGTTCAGTGTAATAATATTAATAAAATTATCATTTTTGGAATTATCTTATAGCAAAACGGGTTTGTTTTAACGTCATTGAAAAATTAATACACACATTTTATTTAGTATCGACACATAATTATTTGCGTAGGACTTTAAATTTCAGAAGTTCAAATTTATTTTTGGGATTTAGTGCTTGGAATATGATGGTAATTCAATTATAAAATAATAACAATATCAATATTTAATTTACGCAATCATTTCTTGTACGACTATACGAAAATAATAAAATACAAAATAGTAAATATTGACTCGTGACACGGTATTTATATTATTATCATTATTATTCCGACAAAAGTTTACTTGACGATAAAATGTTCGACTCATTGTTATGGGAGAAATTTGAATCGTTTGCAGCACATTCATAAAAACGTTAAAGAGTATTTGAAACGGTTATTTTCTCTCGTTTTCTAATTACAAATACACAGTATAACATTTCAGAAAAATTGTCTGTTTATCATTCTGACTGAAGTGAAAAAGTGATAAAAATTCTGATAATAGATTCGAATCCCGGGGTTTTTGAATTGACTTCCAAACATAGGTAGTCCATATTTTTACTTATTGAATTGGCTCCCAAGATTTAGTTACTGAATTGGCTGCCTTGACATTTATTTCATAAATACATTGGTTATCAAAATTGTTCAAAACAATAAATGAATAAATAATAATTTAAAATGTAAATATTACATTTTATAGAGTTAAATGAAAATATCAATATTAAAGTTCAATTAAAATAATAATAATTATAATAATTAAATTATATTATAAATAATTTAAAATATAAATAATATTATTTAGTAGACTTAAATTTGTTAGCTAGTGCTTGTAGATATAATGTGCATGTATAGATTTTACACCAACTTCTTATAATAATTTCAGTATCTGCTTGAACACTATATAATACATTAAGGAAATTGTAAATATTTGGGTGTGATGAATAAATTGGGAATTAAAATTAAAATGAAAAGATTCACATGAATTAATTTTCCTTTTTCACTTTTTATTTTTTCGACCAAAGCGCTCAATAATTAAAACTGTTCATATATATAAATACAAACGACGAACTGTGATTTCTGTATTGTGCGATATCAGATCCAATTAATTTTAAGCACTCAATAATTTGATATAGCAATTTTTATTATAGTTAAATCGTGACCGTTGAACGTGAATCGGCTTAACGATTAGATCATTTTTAGTAGTAATCCAGCACTATGTTGCTAAAAATATTAATTTCACATAGGTACTTTTTTTATTTTGAGACTTATTTTTACACTTGTTTAAAATATTATTAAAAGCCAATTCAATATTATGTTTCTTGAGAGCTAATTCAATGACCACCTTGAATTTATCGTGCGATTTATCAATTATATTGGGTCAGACTATTTTTTTAAATTAAATTAAATTTTTAGATTTAAATTTTTTATTTATACACATTTTTATACATTTTCAAATCAAACTTTTGGAAATTAAAGATCGAAATTCGAAAAAGTGGTTTGGTCGATATCGTGTTATTTAGGTTCATGTTGAATTAAAATCCGTTTTCAGAATTCTGAAAATGAGGCCCAGAAAATATAAGAGACGTTGGTCTGAGTGACTGAGTGTATAAACCATCGTTCCATAGCAAATAAATGTTACAGTAACCCGCGGGAGACTATTTAAATTTTAGATAATAATCATAATTAACAGTAGACTCGGTTCATCTGCCTCCTCCCTCCCCCAAAATTCGAGCATACAAGAAGATTTTAGCCGGTAAAATAAATCCGAATAATACTCGCGAGTATACACAACAGCAGTCTGTTATATTTGTATTTTGTTACATATATGTTTGTTTATTATTGTATACCTATTATTATATTATGCAGTGCTCGAATTGGACAAATAAACGACAAGGGATTAAGAGACTTAAACAAAATTAGCGTCCCTCGCAATGAGTGAATTCAAGTATTCAACCTGATCCGCGGCAGTCTTTGAAATGTTAAATTTTCAAACATTTTGGATTGATCAAAAAATTATACTTACATAAATCGAAAAATAAAACATGAAAAACGTGATTTTACGATTTTCATTAAGATTCGAACTTTAAACGAGTACATAATAATACTTCTATCATATCGTTATCATACACTATATTATAATATCTTCTATATTCAATCGCTATTCATTGAAATACTTTTTTCTTTTCCCAGATTTAAATCGAACGATTTCGGAGAAGTCGGAGTGCACTTATATAAGTACCCATATATAATATGCGTGTATAGTAAATGGCATTTTCAAAAGGGGTTTATTTACATCTCGGACACCCGAAATCCACACATCCGGGTAACCATTCCGGCATATAGGTACTCCCGTTTTACCGCGTTTATTTGTTTTGTGCTCGCACGTCGTCCCAGACTCTTGAAAACGCTTTTAACGCCGTTCTGTGGCCCGAATAATTCAAATTAGAATCCGTCGATAAAAAAATGTATATTTCAGTATAATATGGTATATCTAAGTAGGTTTAAACCGGAAGATTTTCAGACGGCCAAAGACAAATATTTGGTCTTTCGATTTGTATGGGTACAATCACAATAGTATAATTTACAGTTTGATTGCGACAACTCCGCAACGGTTTTGAATAGCGAAATTCAACGAATATTTCGTAAATTATAAAACATAAATTAAATCTGGTATAAGTACAATTTTTCGTATACACATAATATATTTATCACTGTGAACTTGTGTTTCCACTGTTATTAATATTATATAAATGCACATCACGAATTGATTTCAATGAGTATACTCGATCCACTTTAGAGTTGGATATTATTTGTTAAACCGAAAAATGTTTTATCTGAATCGTTGCAGTCTTGAACCGGATTACAATTTATATTATTACGTTTTTCGCTGCCAATCGGCCGAAACCGGTCGGTTAGCGTACGGGTACGTACATACATGACGTATACCTATCGGCTACTCGTCTCTCGCCTTTTTATTTCTTCCGGGTCTCCGCGCTAATCTCCCGTTTGTCTACAGACCCCGCAGTCCCTCCGAATCGTCGGCCCCGTCATTTCAAATGCTTTTAACGGTGGCGAATCGCAGGTTTATATATATATATATGTATATGATAGAAGCAATAAAACGAATGTCGTGTACCTAAGCGCCGAAATATCGCGCGGTCGCGGTCGCGATGACGGCGGAGCGAGCGAATCCAATAATTCTCGACAGGTCGAAAGTCGGCGGCGGCCGGTCGTTAATTCTCTCCGCGTATACGCACTCCGTAGCGCCGTACTTCTCGAGACCGGTCGGCCGCTAATGGCCCGACGTTTATAGACACGCCGCTCTCCGGTCGGACGCTTAATGTACGGCGGCGGCAATACGACAACGACGGAGTTTTTTTTTTTTTCCTCTTGTTTCCCATACACAATTTATATTATATCGCGCGTATATACCAGTAAGTGAGCGGGCGAGTATATCGTCGGGGGGAGGGCGCGCGCGTTCGCCGCGCGAGGGGAGTGTGGGAGAGCCGAGGGCGCGACGACAGTATGAGTTGCCGCCGACTGTAACGATAACCCCGCCGCACATACGGCCGGACGGAATGATAACAATAAAACGTGTACACACCTCTGCACCGCGGCAATATAATATATTACGTACAATGCCATTGAAGCCGATCGGCATTTTTTCCCGGGTGACTTTTATTTTTTCTCCGCTCCATCGTCTTCGTCTTCTTTTTAGCTTTAAAAAAAAAAACCCTCCCCCCCCTCCCTCTGAACCCGGCGGCCGTATAACGTAATATTATGCAAGCGAAATAGTCCCGCTGCAGTTCGTGTTTGTTAGACGGCGCGTATACATTATATAAATATACTATTGTATAATAATATACTATTATACCGCTGTGCGATACGACGATGCCTTTAATGCTTTTAAAAATGTCGTATATATTTATCGCTCGTGTTTTAATAGTCCTTTGAATTCCATTAGCATTCCATTTCACCCACTCTGAAACAATAAAATACCTATACGGAATGAATGTGTATACTCCAAGAGTCTACGAGTTTAGAAATAGGTGAAGCGTATTATTATGAACGGGCGCTGCTATATTACTATAATAGTTATAATCATTTTATCGGTTAGTGATTTTTTTATTGTTCGTTGGTTTTTTTCCTGACAAGGAAACAAATTTTCGGTTAGCAGACACGCTCCGATTTTTTTATGGCACACATTTTATAAAATATGCGGATTTTTATTATTTGAACAAATTTTTGAAATTTCTAATTCTTTTTCCAAAAAATCGTTTTTTACGTTATTTACTTATTTACTATTACTTATTTTTGGTAACACTTTTTTAACCGAAATCGAAGTACAGCAACAATTCAAAAACACAGAAATTATTTCTCTCTATTGCTATTTGCTACAATAGCTTACTATAGTATCTATATACTCTATAACGTCTCTTACGTTATAATACGTTAATTATTATTCACGATTACAAAATTAAATGAATAAAATAGTAACTATAGTAATATTAGATTAAAGATAATTCCGTGTCATTTTGTTCTGCAAACGTATAATGTTTTACTTCGGAATATTAAAGTGAAAATTGAATTTATTAGCGATTACTATTTTTAAGCCCAATTTAATAGAATTAATTCTCCATTTTAACTTAGTTAAATTTATTCAGAGAGATTAGCGATAGATGTTCTATATTATATAGTACTATACATATTGTTTGAAATGTTTAGACTGTCACTATATAGTCCTGAACACAACATTGTTTATCTCAACCTGATGCAATAGAAACAAGAAATGACAATACAATATGTTATTAAAAAAAAAAAAAAAAGGTTGATGTGTACAAAGGAAACCGTCTTATTGTTATTTTTTTTTAATATCTTAGATTATTAACACTTGGAGATTTTAACCCATTATATTTTTTACTTAATCCGCATGCACATTAAATAGCTATTTAAATGTATTATATACATAGTATATAGGTACTTAATAAACCTCTTTCTGAAATGTTCTAGAATTACAAATAAACGAGATAACATTACCGAATATAATAGCGTGATAGATAACTATTTACAACGCAAAAAACCTGCTACTATATGTATACATATATTTGCAATTTGTATACAAACTTACATTCGTTTAAGACAAAATAATTATTGTTTTAGCTGCACGTACTTTTTTAAATTAAATCGCAATTACAAATTCCAACCGTCGAATTTATTTCACCAATTAAAACTGACTAAACTACAGCAATAATATTACGCTAACTCTTACGTATGGATAGAATGTATTGACAACAGAAGGGATACTGAGAACCATTCAAATCAAAGTATGGAGGATAAAATGTGGATTGGTTTATAATATTACAAATGCGTGCAAATTAATGGAGAGGAAGTTTAAGATAAAGAAGTGCAGACAAATTGGTTTAACACCAGTTTGCCAGCTATACGAGTACATAGGTTTAAAAAAATACAGTGTCGGTTAGGACACACAACGAGAAGAATCGAAGATAATAACACGAGGGCAGTTGTGATGTAGAAGTCAGAAGGGAAGAGACCCCCAAGGTAGACCACGGTTAAGTTGAATAGAGGTAGTAAAAGGAGATCTTAAAATCCTAAAAATAATACACATGGTTTAAACAAATATTTCAAGACCGTAAGCTATATGAAGGGATATCCGGATTTAATGCTGGCGACAAAGACTCGAGCTTTCAAAAAAGTTATAAATGTCAATAATAATATAATAACAAAAACTACATCAATTTGTGGGATGTTTTATAGTGCAGGTTGCACGTGGTAATCAAAAGTAGGTAACCATCATTAAAATAAAGGCAATAGTAGCGCACTTGAGTTTTTAAATTCCCAAAAAAATGAATATATTGTTTCGAGATAATGAGATTGTTACGAAACAAATCATTCTGTATGATATCGATTTCAGGATTTATTGTAAATATATTTATTTATTTATTTATATTGTTAAAATTAATATTTTATGTTCACCGTATTATCAAAACGTATACAATATTATAATATGATTTACATTTGCGTTTTAGGGCGGAGTACACTTGATTACATTACTGAATGTATTTGGACCCGGTATCGCCATACTATTTGTAGTATTCGTTGAAGCTGCAGCGGTTTGTTGGGTTTATGGCGTTGACCGGTTCGCGAATGATATCGAAATGATGATTGGACATAGGCCCGGTTTGTTCTGGAGATTGTGTTGGTGTTACATAAGTCCCGCATTTTTATTGGTAATTACAATCGAACCAGATAAATATATTACTATCGTTGTATTTGTATAGGTAAATTGTCTTTAACGAACGGTCGTTTAGACTATCCGCTATTTTTTTGTTTTTTTTTTTTTTTATCGCAGGTATAAAGATAAACTGTAATTTTCTCGATACATAATTTCGCTCGCCAATTAGTTCAAAAAATTAAAAATAAAACCTGTTAGAAAATGGCACATTTCCGGACACTTTAAACGATTACTGCAAGAACTAGGAAGTGATCATACCGAAATCCCGAATGATCGGTCATTCCTACAGTTCATCCACTCGTACCTTATCAGAAAGGAACCTCCATTCAGATGCAATAATTGTCAATATTTTAAATTCTATAAACAATGCACAAAATCTGAGTCCTTATAATTATTTTCTTCTTTTTTCAGCTGTGAAATATTGTTAACTCACATGCAGGGACTAAATAAAAACCATAAGTCGTTGAAACTTTTTCAAATAAATTTAATTAAAAAAAAAAAAAAAAGCGTATTAAATGTATTTTGGAATTTAATACGATGTAATATAATTATTATAGCATAGACCAACAAAGTCAAGATCAACAATGATAATATTTTCTGTGTTTACCGTGTATAGGTGATTTTCGTATTCTCGATACTGGGCTATAAGGACATGATGGCCGGCGGCAGTTATAACTATCCGGATTGGAGTATCAACATGGGATGGCTGATGACCGCATCTTCAATCATGTGCATACCTGCGTATTTCCTTTACAAACTGTACAAAACGCCCGGAACATTTATGCAGGTTAATGATAAAAATCGCATACCATATCTTTGGTCCTAGAAAAGAAGGGCTTCGCATTTTTTTTAAAAACTAATTTTTCTTATATTTAATTTCTTCCTCTTTTTTCGGTTATTTTGACATAAAATGTACATATATTCTAAAACATGCTAAACTTATACATAAAATTAAAATATATTAAGTCACTACAATCAATAATTAAATGTACTAGTATAAAGTACTACGTAAATATATTACTTAGTACAACGAATCCATGCTATGGTGCATTTTTTGTTTGTTAAGAAAAGATTTAAGTAATATTTCTTATTTAGAAATTTAACCATTTACCAATATTGTATGCCATTAAGCAATTCTCAACATTTAATTTGGTTGTAAAACTATACACAATTACCCTTCTTCCCTGGGACCGAACATTATATTATACAATATATCTATTGCCAAATAAACAGGTATATAAGGGTTATGATGGTATTAATATTGATCATTGATGATGAAATGAGGTGCACTACCATAAGTATCATGACTATCCAGTGGTGGATTTAGCGCCAGGAAAAGTAGGCAGTTGCTTAGGGTGGTAAATTTTTAGGGGTGGCAATTTTACGCCAATAATTTATTGAGAATGTTAGTTTTTTTTAGATTTTGTAAGGTAGTTTTTAATCTTTACAACTGAAAAAAACTACCTATCAATAATTTATAGTAATAATAATTCATAATTCATAATCCAAAAGTTAATTCAATTTTATGCATATTTATCATATGTTGGCTATTACACACTACGTGTACAAAAATAAAACTTTTTTCTATCCGAATGATAGAACTGGAATAATATTTTTCTTTGTAACTATATGAAATAGAGGGCGGCCGATTAGAAAATAGGTATTATCCATGCGTTTATTCTGATTAGACATTCGATTATTTTCAACACAACTTTCAAGGCAGATAGACGTATTATTCGGATGTTAAATAAGTACTTAAAAATTCGTTTTCTCATTGATAAGTTTAATGGGGCGACAAAATAAAATTTGCCTAGGGGCGGCAATTGTGTAAATCCGTCTCTGTGACTATCGCTGGGAGTCCGGGAAAAGTGGGAAATATTAGCCGACGTGTCTGTCTATTATGTTTATTATTATTACGAATTATGATTATTATACCCATATACAATATTTTGTACGTATTTTTATTTTTATAAAATGTATAATATATATATATATATATGTATTCGTGACGCAGAGAATCAAATTGGTTATGAAACCGGAAGACCCGGAACCGGACGACCGGAACATGGTGGCCGCTGTACACGGTGTCGGCGCAGGAGGCGGCACGCACGTTTGACTCGAATGGCTCGTTTGATGTAAAATCACACACAAACACACACTTATTTATACACACACACATACACACAAACACACATTTACACATACTCAAATACAATACAATTGTATAGTATTTGTTCACACACACACACACACACACACACACACACATACACACACGCACACGCATACGCACACAAACGTACTCGCAAACAATTTAAATTAGTATCTAAAGAATAATTTTAGCGCAAGTATAATTGTAGTGCTTGGGATAATGCAGAATTTCTTGTTTCTTAATTTCGTTAAATCACAGCTTCGTAAGTTAGTTTCCTATATTTGGATTGCTCTTTATATAAAGAAAAAAAAATATGTCTGCATAACCGCTATCGAAAACTAAGTATTTTATCGTAGTGGTGTATTTTTAGCGGACTTAATGTCTTATTACAAATATTAAAAAAAAAAAAAAAATAGTATACGAATAAGGTTAATTCATTATTTTATTATAGATTACTTATCATAATATATTATAACACTTATAACAATATATACATTTTAATCATATTATAATATAATACATCTAATAATAATATTTTAATATCGTTGTAGTAGATACTTACTTAAAATGTTTAAGTCTTATGAAACAAAATGTTCTGATCGCCAATATTCAAGATATTATAATATGAATAATGCCGTGTTGTACACGAACGACAACAACACTCATATACTTAAGTTGTATAACGTATAATATTTTGGTTTTTAATAATATTTACCCTGTATAATTTATGTATTTAAGTGTAATCTATCAAGCGTTGGGTCTTACATATATTATGCACACAATATAATATTCTTGTTTTTTAGTCCAGGCTCACGCAACGCCTGTAGATATACTTATAACGGTAGTGCTGCACGATATTATCTATTACTTATATTATTATAGTAATTGTGTATTTAGAATAAATAGCATTAAGTATATTATGCATTTTTACAATATTTACTGATGAATTCCGATTATCGCGCATGTATATGTACCTATAATAATATAAATAATAAAACTCACCGTGTAGATCTTTTTCGAGATAAAGTCAGTTGGTTGGTTAACAAGTTAGCGTTAGCTGTATACGTTCATGTGTAAGTTTGTACACTGTTATTGTAGTTGTAACTTGTAAGTGTTTGAAGCTCGAATATAAAACAAAAATAAAAAACAAATGTCCGAAATAGGTTTTTCTTCGCTGGTATATAGCTAGGTGCGTAGTCTGATATGATACCTGAATAGAAAACTGAATAAAATATCAATAGACTTTCGTTTAAAATATTATAATAACGCGACATAGGTAATAACACTATTATTATTATTATTATTACTACTATAGGTATTGTACCTATATTATATTGTTATAAAGGTTTAACTATTATTATATAATTACTTAAAACGTTTTATAGCATAGGTATATTACATATAGGTACTTAAAATAATAAATAAAATCGCGGTCTGACACTCTTGCGGTATACATATAAATATTATAATACAACTTAATTATTATTATTATTATTATTATTACTATTCTATTTCGATTATTAATTATTATTAACGCGTGTGTACTTAATCGTAATATTATTAATCCATCTTAAGTATTAATTAGTATTATTAATTTGTGCCTCGCAAAAACACTAATATTTGAATAAAAGATAGAGTTTGAACCCCCTCCTCCACCAAATGGTCTTGAAATAATATAATAAATTCTCGAATTTCCAAAACGGACTCTTTTCATTCTAAAACGCAGTAGTTATTACTTGTTATAATATTACTTCCATATACTTTTCAAACAACTAATTAACTCGTAGTTTAGGGCCTTTATAACAATAAACATTAAGACTTACTATACAAATATTATATTCTACACATGTTACTACTATTTCGACGTGTTTTACGATTAATTATTAATAATTATTACTACTATTATTCATTATTAACATTTTAAACTTATAACAATAACTTATAGTAGTTTTATATTACCAATACTATTATGCTAAATGATACTCATTAAATTATAATAATATTATAACAATTATTGTGGTCTGACACTATTTACTAATATTATTAATTATAATTAATCATTATCCATTACTCTTTATAAATATAATTAACTATTATTAATCATTATATATTACTATTATAATATACTACAATATAGTATACAATCATTTTTTTTTTTATTACTGCCAAGTTATACGAACATTATATACTGCTTGGTTATAATAGCTTGTAAACGATATTTAATCAATATTATTGCTATATTAATTATTAATAATAAAATACATATTGTGTTTTCAAAAATGATTATTTTTCTTTGTTTTCTTTATTAACTATTTGACATTTTTATATGTAACTACAATGTAACAATGTCAAATAGTCCTGTTATACTCAGTATATACTACATAACACTAGATTTTTTTTTTACTACTATGTACGACTTATAATATACCTCCTGTAAAAGTTTCAAGAACAATTTTATAAAAAGAGTATTCACCAAATAAAAATTACATTAAAAACTCTCAAAATTAAAATGCCTATTAAAAAATAGCTAAAAATGACTACAATTTTCCCGTTCTTTCTACGTATTTTTCGGTTTTGCTTAGTAATTTAAAAAAAAAACTACAAATAAAATCAAAAAGTGACTTTCTTGATTACCAACTAGATTAAAAATTCTGTGGTTAATAATTAATATAAGTGAAATATTCGTCTATGCTGCGTCTAGTATCAAATACTAGATCGCACTAAATAGTCTTCAAATGAAAACTCCATGATATAGATTAGAAGTAAATAGGTACAAGCGTCCACAACAGCTGTTAACACACTTATGTATCTATTTCCTGCCAAGTGTTAAAACAACTTTTTTTAATCATTCGAATACAAGAACAGTGATGATATGACAGTATATTATAATAATTATATTAAGTATAAATAACTTTAAACTTAATTTTCTCGAAATCAATAAAATATCACTTTTACCTCTTGTGTTCTATAGGCGCCTCTTATACCTATTGAGATATTTTCGATAAACAACATTGTGAAATAAAATTAAGAGTTGCGCCACATTACCACTCTGTCTATTAAAATAAAAATAGTTGGAAATACATTATATTATAAAGATAAAGTTATTTAATTTATACCTGGGCAAAATTCGATTCTTATAGCGAAGTTCGGTTAAACTTGTTTTGAAATGTCGATTTCCACCATTTCGAATTTCGTCAAAATTTGAACTCAAAATAAGTTTATAAAAAAACGACCAAATATGATGAACCACATGTTAAATTTTTAAGCATTTCTGATCGGCTAAAACAATTTTATAAATTAAAAAAAGAAAAACTAAAAACTCGACATTGCCAATTAGGTACATACCTTAATATCAACAGAATGTTGTGAACATTTTGCCACGTCTACAAAATGCCAATAAAAGTATTTTGTGAATTGTTGAATCGAATTATAAAAAAAATCAAAAAATCAAAAATTGACCTCAATCCAACTAAATCCAAAATGCTATAAAAAAGCTATTTTGTTAGTTTTATTGGAATAAACTAGCAAAGATCTCTACAATTGTTCTACAAATTGTTGTTTTACAGACACAAAAAAATAAATACATATTACATATTTATTTTTAAAATAAATCACACATATCATAGTAAGCCCAATATAATCTTCACTGCGCTCAGAATCTAAAACATAATCGAAACCTTTTTTATTGCATAAATATTCCAATTTTTTCGACGCTCTTCGGTTTTCTGCCATTAAAAGAAAAGTGCAAGAAAAATAAAAACATAATCTCCTCAGTACACCGACTAGACGATATTATATACCATAAACCACTTCTGAAATTGATGGATGAAACACAATTTTTGGTCGAAATCGTTTTTTTAGACGGACAAATATAAAAAACAAATTTATCAATACATCATTGGAAAACCAATAAATTCCTAGCTATACTCAAAATTTAAAACAATAAGAATATAAAATAACAATTATATTGATGTATTCAGTTCAAAACGGGAAAATACCGTTATCCACTATTCCCTAGGTGAGAAGAAAAATATTCTAAAAAAAAATATAACAATAATAATAATAATCACCTACTGTTAAAATTTGAATTAAGTATCGGTATGATATGAATAATAGAAAAGATTATCGACTTTTCTACTTTTAAATGTGACTTACCCATCGTGACTTTTGCCTTTTATCTATACTTTTATTTACTTCTAACGTGGTTTTTTAACTACTACCGAGATCAGGTTATGAATTTAACTTCTTTGGAGCAGTATCAGGTTTGAACATAGATATCAGTGAGATTTAAGTTTGAATGGGATTTCTTTGTTTCGGAATTAGTATACCTGAATTTCAATTTTCCGGCCGTTTTATTTTATTCTAGAGAGAAGTGGGTGTATCCAGTCCAAAACTTGTAATTTTAATTTTAAACGGTTATTGTGTCACGTCTTGTGCATGGTACATCGTGTTGTTTCTTAGTCAAAATCTGATGAAGTACCTACTAATTATTTTTGTATTTTTTTTATATCGATACATGTTTTTCAAAATTTCCTATAAGTATCCTATAAGTATCTCAAAATTATTATATTTTTAAAACATATCATATTGAACGAACTATTCTCTAATTTTTAAATATGCTTTTTTATACATTAAAAAATGTGCGTACATCATTAGTTCATTAACAAATGAATCGTTATAAAGTTCACTCAATTAGTATTCAATAGTTTCAGAAAAATGATGTTATTATATAAAAATCAGGCCTTTAGTTATTATAAATAATAATTACAAGGTAACAATAAATACCTATAAATAGTTATGTGTCGTAAACATTCTACATATAGAAAATATATAATCATATTTAGTAATTACGCATGCTTACCTACCAAGTATAGCAACGTAACATTTCGTAGTCAGATACAAATTCGTGGGGAGCGAGTGGGCAACTAATAATTTGTATCACAAAAACTTAATATTTTTTAGAATGATAAAATACACCAAAATAACTTAAACAATCACTTCAGGTGCGTTCGAGTCGCATAGTGTGCAACCAGTTATAATTGAAATATTTGAAAACATTCCAAATTAAAACGTCGCGACGGTACACGGCAATACTTATAGCCATAAGTAATGATTTTTCTTTTCAGATAATAATAATCATAAGTGATCAATAATTATTTTGATATTTTAACTATTTTGATACCTATAACAGTATTCTAGTTAAAACATGTACTGATGCAAACAATTCACCTTCCAAAATTTAACAAAAATTGATTATTGTAACTTCTGGGTACTTAATAAATATTCATGAATCAAAAGAATTTAAACAAAAAAAAAAAAGGGCATTAAAAGTTTCGATAAATGTTTCAAATAAAGTATCAACGGTCGAAAAATCCCTATTTTTATGGTTTGCCATAGAAAAAAATAAATAACAACTTCGTTATAATATAAAAAGAAACCATTATTCAATTAATGACGATGTTATGTTATGTTTTATTTGTATACAGATAAATGGGATAAATAATCGTTATTACTTACTAAGAAAGTAGATAGCTTAACAAACTTTAATTGGCTATAAGTATATTTAAAATGTAATTACATAGGTAGGCACATAATGAACATCATCCTCGAGAGTGTTTAGTAGGTCTCAATCATTTGCGAGGTGAGAGGTGAGAGGAATAAGGCCTACTATGTAGTCGTGTTAAATATAATATATTACGTTATTATAGTTTTTAACATGATGTTTTCATTTGCAATTTTTATTACTATCAAAAATCACATCAACTGAAATTATTAGTATTAACTTAAATTCTATTTTCGAAATAATTAGCATTTGTCAAAGCTGTTCTATTAAGTATAGGTTGTTGACCATATTATTTGATAATAAATTCATATTTTCTGTATTTTATACATCAATGTCGAATATTAAAACTGAAATGGACGTGGACAATCCAAACAAACGGTACGGCTTAAAAGCAACGCTGGCACAAGTTAGTATATCATTTAAATGTATTATTTTTTTAAGAAAAGCGGGTAAGTATATTATATTGTTTAAAAAATTACGAATCAACACACATTCGAATATTATTACATAGATTTTGGCAACTTTAGCCCAGAGTTTTCTGTTGATCGGTTTGGGCATGGAACTGACGATGCCGACCGTTGTTATTCAGGAAGTATATCAAAACTCAAAAAGTCAATTCTCGTTAACGCCCACAGAAGTCTCGTGGTACGGTAAGTCTGATTAATTTTACTGCACCATATATATATATATATACAATTTACGAAAATAATGCTTTAATTAATTACAATTTTGGATTTGTTGTAATTTAGTTAAAATATTCATAGAAATTTAGACAGAAAATTAATATTTGTCTTTTTAGACATGGTAAAATTTTCAAAATATTTTAGCAATATTTGAGTTATCTATAGATATATATTGCAAGTTTTATTTATGTCAGTCCCTAAAAAACTCAATACTACAGTAATTTATTGATTTATTTTAGTTACCTCTCTACCTTACATATTGTTATTTGTTATTTACCTAATCAATTACTCTTGGGATTTGTTTTGCAATTTAAAATAATTTATTTAGGTGTTATACCTACATATTAACACTTAATGTATTTTTTGTGTTATACTCACAAAACTACATTTTTAACATTAAAATAGGCATCAAGTCTGGCAACGTTTGACAAAACATTTGCAATTTTAATTATTTTAGTTTTTGCCCTTTTACGATTCTCTGTACCACATTTAAATTATGAACATGAATTTTTTTTTTTATTTCGGTAACTACATTATCTTATATTTCTACTTTAATTATAATTAATTATTACATTTTAGTCAACAAGTTAAATATATACAGGGTGTCTAATACAGAGTAGTAATATCTTCGGAGATAATAAAGATAATCAAATTTTGTTTTATTTTTTATATATATTACTCATAGATGTAAGGACTACGTATACTTATATTGCAATTTATTTTTTATGCTTTGATAAAAAAAAATAACTTAATTTTATTATTTTTGACAAAATTGAAAATAGCCATTTTATAGAGTTTATTTTTTTGAAAATGTTGATTTATCAACTTCTTATTTTCATTAAATTCGTGATTTTTAATAATTGTTTTAAGTTCAGAAAAAAGTACCTACAATAATTATGCAGGAGACTATAGTCGCATTTACTAATTGATTATTATTATTACGATTAATTGACTCTACACTTCTTGTCTCTGAACTTTAAACCATTATTCAAAACCACGAATTTAATGAAAATAAAAAGTTGATACATCAACATTTTCAGAAAAATAAACTCTATAAAATGACTATTTTAAATTTTTTTCAAAAATAATAAAATAAAAAGTTATTTTTTCTAAGTTTTTTATCGAAGCATAAAGAAATTGATTGCAGTATACATATTTGCAGTCTTTTCCCCTATGAATAATATACAAAAAAAAAAAAAAAAAAAAAAAAAAAAAAAACAGAATTTGATCATCTTTATTATCTCTGAAGAAATTACAATGGGTATATCTTCGTGGAACACTCTGTATATATCAAACAATATTAAAAAATATATTACATATTAACATATTACGTACTATAATATACTACTATACTAATTCAATTTTCCTTGAAGTATTTGAAAATCAATCGCTTATTCTTTTTATCAATTACTAAAATAATTAATATTAGGTACTGTAGGTGGTATTGAGCTTTACGAAAGTACATTAAGATTAGATTATGTATCGCTTATCTAAACACAATATAAATATAAAACATACCTTTTTATTTACTTGTGTTTTGTTATCGCAGTGACATATGAACGTTGTACAAGTTTCAAATGTAATACCTAGGCATTTAAAACTATTCAATTTTATTTTATAAAAAAAATTCGGGGGGGGGGGTTGTTCTGAACCCTAAACCCCTCGCCCTGGCTATAGCCTTGATACCTACTATAGATAGGTATTTTTATACCTAATAATATGCACTACACCATGTAGCTTGAATAGGTAATTAAAAATATGAACTCGTACTCACTCAGACATTCAGATGGATATGGTAACTAACTAGATAGTGTAAACTGTGAAATAAATTGTTGTCAAATCAATCGACTAAAACACTTACAGTTAAGCGGGTTTTACACATATAAGAGTTTTAATTGCGTGAGGGCTTTCACGCAGGAAAGAATTTCCGTCCAAAAGAATTTATTGCAAGATTGACCGCGTTAAAAACTTTAAATGTTTATGAGCGCTCTTGCGCATAGTTGATCTTTTTATTATTTTTGTGACGACGTGCCGTTCAATCACAGTCGATTGGTAACCGATTCTTTAACTGTTACAGCTATTATTATAGTATAATAATATGACGAAATAGTGAATCTTTGCAAGCTCAATACTCCAGACGTCGATAGAGATAAATTCGATTGTATAATATCACTTTCAACTCCTACTGCAACACTAGGTACTCCTTAAACCGTTGTAAATTCAAATAATTCACGCGCCATGCATTTACGCGTTCAAAACGGCCAGATACACTTTAAACGAACGTTTATAGCGAAGGATGAATGAAAAGAAGGGAAGTGCGTGGCAAAGAATTTTACAACCAGTTCTTGTGCGTGGACAAGTCTTCGCTCAAGTCTGTATGTTCTCGGAGTGGAGAAAAGCTTTCGCGTGTAAATTTAGCATTACATTATTTTAAAAACTGTACAATTTTAATACGCTGTTCAATAAAAATAATGCCACTTTCATAGTTTAACAAGACGCAAAGATCACATTATCATTTAGTAGACAGCGTTTGACAACAAATACTTGTTACCTGACATCATGCAACATCATGGAAATGTTTAGTGCCTGTATAAATTAAATATATTAATATTAATCAATGGTTTAGATATTAGGTATTCGACAAGGTGGATAAACACCTTGGTATTCGATAAACCACGGGGACGTGGAGATGTTGATTACACAGAATACCTGTGTTGTTATTGATAGCATGTTTTGTTGACATAAATTTGCCTGTCATTGTAAATCTGCAAAAAAAACTCCCATTAAAATTTTCTGTCTGCCAAAAAAAGAAAGAAAAAATGTTGTCTGAAGCAATTTCCCCCCTTTGGCCTCCATCTAAATACACGACAATATGTTGAGGTATGGTATGAAAAAACCTTAGCATTTTTAATAACCAAAAAGGAGTTTTCGAGGAAAAAAACCTATTGTTGTAAAACTAGCTAATAGCTTTTTCATTTTACTCAAAATCTTATATAATTATAACAAAATAATCAACTAATATGATATTGTTATTCTATTTCATTGTACAGGTAGTGTATTGTATGTATTTCATCCGATCGGAAGTTTTATATCCGGATTTTTGCAAGAAAGGTTCGGGAGAAAACGCTGTATGATTTTCGCAAACGTGCCCAGTATCTTTGGATGGATATTATTATATTATTCGCACACTACGATTTCACTTTATACGTCGACCGTGCTGATGGGCATGAGCATAGGATTCAGCGAAGCTCCAATATTATCGTACGTCGGTGAAATAACCGAACCGAAACTCAGAGGATCTATGACTTCATTAGCGAGTATGACATCCATGCTCGGCTCGTTAATTGTATTTACTTTGAGATATTATTTTTCCAATTGGAGGACAGTGGCGTTGCTGAGTACACTGTGTCCGTTGACATGCATATGCCTAATTTTATTAGTATGCTCTTGTTATACCTACCGACATTAATTTAATTAATTTCCGGAAATTCAAGTCAAAATTAATACTTGCAATGTTTTTTTTTTCCGTTTCGTTTAGATACCAGAATCTCCTATATGGTTGGTCGGAAAAGGAAAAATCGAAAAAGCCGAAAAGGCATTGTGTTGGTTAAGGGGATGGGTGGACAGTGAAACAATTAAATCTGAATATTGTGAGCTTATCCGTTACAACGAACTTTCTGGAACACGGGGAAATGATGGCAAAGTTAACACTGGCGATACGGGCTTGTTTGTAAAATTAAGGGAATTTAAAGATCCGGCCGTTTATAGACCTCTGCGATTGGTAATGGTTTTGTTCTTGATATCGAACATGATCAGTCTTGCGCCTTGCAAACCGTTTATCAATAACATCATGACAGAAATTGGTATATTGGACGATCAAAATCTGATTTTGGTACGTATATACGCGTATACGGAATACAACATAAACTTAAATATTAAATTTAAAAAAAAGAAAAACCATTGTTTTTGTTAGGTTTGCTCCGGTGTTTTACAATTCATCGGATGTCTTTCCGTAATGTTACTCATTCGGTACTCGGGAAAAAGAATCATGTCTCTATCATCGTTTTCGATAAGCACCGTATTGGTGTTGTTATTCGGTGTATACATCGTAGCCTTGAAGAGTAATTATATTGTCTCGACTCCTTGGATTCCAATAACGATATATTGCGGAATTTCTTATTTTTCCACTTCCGCTGTCGGTTTACCCTGGATGCTAATTTCCGAAATTTTTCCAAACAAGTAATGATATATCAAATACTATATAGGTATATACATAGAATTATTATAAATTAATGGACGGCGCTTAGAGAGAGATTGAGAATGAGAAAGAAGAGATAAAACTAGATAGCGACTATAATTTATTAAAAAGCTAAAAGTTAATTTTTATTTTGGTAACTTAAAATAACTTGACTAGTTGAAAAAAAATGATAGAAAATAACCGAGTTATTTCTTTAAGTAATAACATTATCTTATTTATCGTATATGTGTGTATACACCTATTTTCTTACAATTTAAATTATTTCTAAAAAGTTATTTTCGAAAATGTATACCTACCTATTTTTTTTTCTATTATTTTTTGACGAAGATTATGCACTTTAACGTCAATACCATTAACACTTAAAACAGGCATGTGGCCTATATGCAGCGAGTTGGAATACCCTCACGAGTCTTATATAGTCAGTCTATACGAATTTAAATATTAGAGTAAAAAATAAGTTTATGATTACATTACTATAGTTAAGGATATTTATCTTAAAAATTTAACTTTTAATTGAACTAGGTTATCATATTCCTGGAAATTTGTAATTTAACTTAGTTACTTTCATTAATTTATACTTTTAAATTAACTTATAAAAAAAAAAATAACTAAGTTAAGTTAATTTAAAATTAACTTTAACTTAACTTAGTTGTTATTTATTTTTATTTTTTTTTAACAAAATATCTACAATATATACACAAATATGCACAATAGGTAGGTTTGATGAGCGACAGAAGAAAAACAAATATAAGAAATCGGTTAAAAGTGATTCAAGTAGAGAAATTATCCAATGGGGATAACACCCAACAGGATAACTTAACTTAAACAAGTTAAATTGGTTAACTTCCTCAACTATTAAAAATAAAGTTATTGGGACACAGACCTATTATCATGTGATAGCGCACCACATATAATCATTCCACTCACATAGACGACGGCGAATTGGAGACGATAAAGACGGATTAAAAAACTATAGCAACCAATGGACAAAGAAGATGCATAGATTTTTTTTTTCTTAGGTTACTTTATAAATATTAACATTTTATAATTTTCGTTTCTTTTTCTTTTTTTACAGGAGCCGAGGTCTTGCATCCGGCACGTGTGCAGGTTTGGGATATCTACTTATGTTCGTATTAACAAAGTCGTATTTGCCCGTAAAAAGTTTTTTGAGCTTGGAGTATTCTATATTCATTTTTGGTATTATCGGCGTTTTCGGAATAGTAATTGTATATTTTTGTTTGCCGGAGACGGAAAATAAAACACTATTAGAAATCGAAAATTTCTTTTTAAAGAATTGAAACGTTAATTTATAGCAAATATTTTTAAATTAATTTAAGTGTACTAAGACTGTATCATCAAGGGAAAGTTAAAAATATTTACAAGTATTTTATATTAAATAATTAATAGTTAATACTAAATTTAAATTTCGACATTTGGTAAAAAAAAAAATATGACAAAAATAGATTTATTCTTGTGTTAATAGTTAATAAATTATAACTTGACATCTATTGTCACATTGTATAACTAGATAGATAGATAGTTATCTATACATACCTACTGATTATAGTATTACAAAACAAAACAAAATAATAAAAAACCATGTTAAAATATATAAATGTAAATTAATTAACGAAATATACACATATACGATAAGTATCTATATTTAAACTATAATTAAATACTATAAACTAAATATATTTTATACCGATTATACATATTTCTGGTTGAATAATTCTTCTTCTAGCTTCTTCTTTTAACCTACAAAAAATTGTTTTATATATTTTAAACATTTTACACATAGACTTAAAATCTTTGAGATCACTTTAAGTATCTCAAATATCTGTGAAATTTGTCCTTTTCCTAGAAAAAAATTTAGAAGTATGACAGAATCGTATTTGATGGAGATAACACGTTGATAGTTGAATAGGAAATTTAATGCAATTTTGGAAAAAATAACAAATTTAGGGGGGAGGTGAATAACCCCGAATCACGAAACCCCAGGTTAAATCTTAGGAGGGGACGCATACAAATTGATGCCCTTGGACGCCAAATGGCCTAATATGTCTCTGATTATAGGTCACCAACGACCGACCGTCATCGATTACAATCAATTATTGGAAGCCGTAAATAATTGTTATGTAGTATTACGAGTCTATGAACGATACAGAACGATAAAATATAAAACTGTTGTCGACAGTCAATTCAATCAATTTAATTTTTACTTTTGTGAAAGCGGTACACAGTTTTAAAAATCAAGACAATCTCCCTTCCCCAAATGGGACGTCTGCATAATTACAATGATAATACATCATAATAGGTATAATACCTACTCAGAGTATTAATAAGAGGTATAATATTTTATTATATCTGGTTATTAAAACTTATTCCATCTATTCCGTGTTAAAACCAAACAATTTTATTTCCGTGTTAAAACTGCGACTTTTGTACGATAAACAAAGTATCATTTTTAACGGTTTATGTTATCATCATAAATTATCGTATCAGCATTCAGTAAACGTTATCAACGGGACCCTTTGTGTTTTGATGTATAATAATTCGTGTCGTTTTTTTATGTTAATTTTCGTGTAAATATAATAAGTAATATAATATTAATTTCAAAGTTCAATTTAATTTGAAAAATAAATTATATTTTATACCTACTGAAAATTTGGTAGGTATTCTCCGTTAAAATTTCTCATTTTTCACACATTTTATACAATTATTTGTATGATAGGTACTATTGTTAATCATTACATTTATTTTTTCAACAATATAGTATAGTATATAAATGTGTTTAAAAAGTATTTAATGCAATGGTTCGACTGAAATTATCATGTCTTTTTTTGTGCGTCGTCTGTTTCTCAATCGTTACACTACTGTGCTTGTATTTTCCTGACAAACCAATTATTTATAAAATCAGTAGGTTTTCAGCTCTTAACACTAGTATTTTACTCCAACGTCATTCAGTTAAATTATTTCAAACCAAGTATGGCATACTTTTTATTTTTTATTATATTTTGTGCTATTTGTATTTATGATAATAATAATGTAATGTGTGCAGAAAAAATGAAGAAGTAGTTATAGCTGTCGTGATTTGTGGAAATCGCACGTCTGAAGCATTGGTCATGATCAAATCGGCTATAATTTTTCGAGGCAATACAGATCTGAGAATTGTTGTGGTTGCAGAGAAGAATATACAACAAGAATTTGATGAAACTGTGAGTACCTACAATATAAATGGATAAATAGTATAATTTACTCAGTTCGTGTCATTATTTAGTTACGAGATTGGAAACTGTTGACAAATGATTCATTTTCATACGAGATACATAGTATAACGTTCCCTAAAGAACACTCGGATGAATGGAGAAAATTGTTTCAGCCGTGTGCCTCTGAACGCCTCTTTTTACCTGTAAATATAGTATAAAACTAATAATTAATGATTAAAAATATTTATAATAATAATATATATATATATATATATATACATATATTTTAATTTATAGTCAGTTTTAAGTCATTTGGACTCTATTCTTTATGTGGATACTGATACACTGTTCTTAAGCAACGTGGAAGATGTATGGAAGCATTTTGCTCTAATGAATTCTTCTCAATTAGCAGCAATGGTACCCGAACACGAAGACATGAATGTTGGATGGTATAATCGATTTGCTAAACATCCGTACTATGGGAAACTAGGTTGGTAATTCTATGTGAAATCTAAAATATCAAATTAATTGTATAATTAATTGTACTTATAGGATTAAATTCAGGTGTAATGTTAATGAATCTCACTCGAATGAGAGAATTTGATTGGATTGGTCGATTAGCACCAGTTCTAGAAAAATATCGACTTTACCTTACTTGGGGAGACCAAGATATTATTAATGTTATTTTTCATGATCATCCAGGTAAATTGTTCTGTTCAATCGCATACCAAAATTGAAACATTATATTTTTAGATAAGGTTTATGTGTATCCATGTCGATATAACTTTCGATCTGATCATTGTATGTACATGAGCAACTGTAAGTCAGCTGAAGAAAATGGTATCGCCGTTCTCCATGGATCTCGTTCTACATTTCAGACAAATAAACAACCTGCTTTTCGAGCAATATTTAATGCCATGGCTCAAGTATATTATTAAAATTATGAATAAATTATAGAATATTATTCATAAGTAGCTACATGAATTATTTTTTTTGTTTTTTTATAGTATCAACTTGGAAGTGATCCAGTAAAATATCTCTTAGATAAAGCTACTAGTTTACTAAATGAAACTATAATAACAAACTGTGGACATCTCGCACCTATATTCACGCATAATATGAGAATTCTTTTTCAGACTATTTGACGAAATCAAGATATAAAAGCAACAACAAGAAAAAAAGGTTTAAATAGGTGTATTAAACTGGTACTAAATATTTGTATTAAATTAGTTTAGTACCATTAAGTTTTATTTTTAATTATAATATTTTGATTAATTACAATTGGCTCTGTGAAACAAAAAACAAATATAAGATCTCAAATGCATTGAAATATTTTATTTTAGTGATAAACTTAAAAAATATTTTTATTATACTGTTGAAACAGTACCAAATAATAAGTTTACTTAATATATAAATACCAAAACAGATTTCTATTGTTTTATTGAATTTTAATTTTTGTTAAAACTGTATACATATTTTATTTATTTACATATAATATATATTTTATTAATTATTTTTTTATGAAAAGGAAATATACAGAGAAGTAGTAATATAAGACTTCAGCATTATTTCTATAATATTTTGGTTAAAGATTTTTGAAAATGTGTTTTTCTTTTTTAAATCCACTGTGTAAAATCTGTAATCTTTGTGTTTAATTACCTTTTTCTGTGATAATTGTTTTTGTATTATACATTTTAAGAAAAATTAGTTTACTATAATTGTATTACTAATTTTTACTCAGCACATCTTAATTAGATTATTTAATCATCTTTAAATCATTTTCAATTTTATATACCTTTTTGTTTAGTTATATAATTTTAATTCAGCTAAATTAATTTAACTGAACATACATTGCTATACAATAATATTATTATATTAGGTATATTGCGTTGCAAAAATTTAAAATTTCAATCAAATTCGTTACCTATGTATATTGTATATTATTTGCATTCATTTGTATTAAAGATTATTATTATGTATTTATTTTTCTATGACATTTAATAGTTTATTATATTAGATATTTTATGAATGTTTATTTTGTTTTTTTTTTTTTTTGTTTTGATTAATAAATTTTAGATTCTATATGGTTTTTTTTTTTTACTTAAGTATTTGTATTTTTAGTTAGTAATAATACAAATCTAAAATCAAAAATGTTTAGTCCTTGATTTAATATATTTATTATAATATAAACAATGGTAAAGTAAGCTTTGCTCAGAGTTGTTTTTAAATTGAAACTTTTCCAATTTTTTATTGAATAGTTTTAAACCTTTGGTGTAATATAGATTTACTACTTATATAATACTTGTATAATGAGCTTACCTATTTGTGAATATAAACGTGTGGTATATTAAATAATAGAATAATTTATTTTTAAAAAATATTAAAAAAATAAAATAAAAATATATAATTGTTTGTCCGGTTGACATACAAAATATGTATAATATATAATATAATACATAAATAATAATAATGATAATTATTTTTTAGCCGTGGAATGGCCATTGGTAACTGCTAATTCTTGATCAGTATCAGGACTGTTCCACGACTGGAGTTCGCTGGACCCTATGAAATTGTACAGTAATCCTGGAATGGCTATGACTATTCCGCTCAGGAGGAAAAAGTGTTGCCACGAATCGAGAGTGTTCTAAAACGAATTCATTGAAAATTTACAAAAAAATCTTTATAATAGACAATTACACTCTAAACATTTGAACAATGATCATTTATAAAAAATCATAGAAAATATATATAATCATAAAATATGTGTATATTAAGTATATACAATTTGTAAAAGTCGAAAATTAAAGCTTATTGATCTTAATTTACTTATGTCATGATAAAAATAAACAACTTACTTCGTCGCTTGTAAAGTAAGACAATACGATTGGCGATATCATTCCTGGAATGACTCCGATAATACCGCTGAACCCTTGTAATACACCTGTGAAAAAAAGTATATATATATAATTTTTGATGAACAAATATTATTGTCTATACTTCTTGAAAATTCAATAATAACGCGTAATAATAATTTATTTAAGTTTTTAATTGATCCTTGACTCGGAATTAATAAATTAGCCGCCTAAAACAAAATTTCGATTAAACAAATTTATGCGCTGTGAGAATTATATTTTTATTTCTCGTGACGCGAACCTTCTTGATATAGATATAATTTATAATTAATTTAGCATAAAGTACAATCACGTCACAAATTTATAGAAAACATACATATATATGTATTTTTTTATTAGTTTTTTGTAAGCGTTTTGTTTTCTGAGGTCAATGTTCCAATTATCTATAACAATGAATTGGGTTTAAATATTTAGATTTTTTTTTTTTGACAGGTATTTTGATTGGTTGAAATAGGTATAGATAGGCACGGTGGTATATGATTTGTCTACCTACCTATTCAATAGGCAAGTTAGGAGTGTTATAATCTTAATTATTATTAATATATTTTCAAAATATTTAATTTTTAAATGCATATTTGAGTGTTTCTTTTTTTTTTTTTAAACATTAGGTAAGTAAATTAATTTATTTACTTTTCGGGATTTTAAGTGTTTTGTGATTCCGATAAGTACTTATCAGGATTTTAAATGTTTTTCCGAAGATTTTATACTGCATTAATAATTCACAGCCCTAAATAAATTGTATACGTAAATATAAACTAATTAACAGGTATCACAACGTGAGCATACTGGCAAAATTTGGTGACAAGTCGACCATTATGGACAGCGGGCCTGAGGTAGAAGCACCACTGACTGTCATTGCCAACAACAGGAACCCGTTAACCAGCCACTGATCACAACCCGAGTACACGACGGCCACGATGAGAACGGCCTGGAGCACCGTGCATATGTTAGTGGATATCTTGCGGATGCACGTTCTGGTGTACGACCCGTTGGCCAACAGCGAGTCAATCACCTGCGACAGTATCAGGGAGAACGCGAACCGAGTTAGATGAGGCAAGCCCGACCAGATGCCAATCTGAAAAAACAAATCAACTCACGTTTTGAATACAATTGGGTAATGTTATTATACAAAAAGCAGGTTATTGCCACATCGGGTTAGGTCGCTCGGCGGCAAAATGGTCGAGGAGGCCGCAGAGGAGTGTTTGAACTGTTCGAAGCCATGCGTAAACAGTCAAATTTAATAATCACCGTACAACGATTTATAGGCACGAATCTGATACTTGCACAAAGAAAAGTCAGATCGTAAGTATAGAGTATAAACTTTTACAGTGGCAGTGGCGTGTACACCACTAATAATTTGTGTATACCTAAAAACCTGTAAAAATAATAGGAACCTACACGTTTTCGTATAGACAAAAAATAATATGCAATTGTCAAAAAGCATTGAAAAAAAAAACGGTATGTAGAATATAGATGTAGGTATTGAAACTATCGATTAATCGATTCTATCGATTTGTATGCTTATTTAAGGGACCTATGGCAAAATTTAGAAAACGAAGAGTAGGTAAACAATTTATTTCGGAAAGTATTAACTTTTTTTGGAATTTGTTTTCTAAAAAATTTAAGAAACAAGCAGCTCTACTATTTTATATTTATATTATTTTTTGTCACCCTTATTTTTGGGAGTAAAACCACAATCTACTTTTGATTTTCAAATGGCAATCTATATTAAAAATTCCATAAATAGATGGAGCATTATTTAAAATAAATTTTAGTGTTGACATTTTTGATTTCCGTCGATCTGTTGACGAGATGTTCTACTTCCAAGTTTGGGTTGGAGGAGAGTAGTAGAATATCTCGTGAACGGCTTGACAGAAATTAAAAATTTCAGCACTAAAGTTTATTTTAAATGATACTTAATAATTTATTTATGGAGTTTTTAAAATAGGTTGTAATTTGTAAATCAAAAATATGTAGTAGTTTTACCCCTCAAAATAAGGGTGAAAAGAAATAATATAAATATAAAATTGTAGAGCTGCTTGTTTCTTAAATGTTTTAGAAAACGAATCCAGAAAAAAGTTTTCCTGAATACTTTTCCGAGATAATGAAAGTACCCACTTAAATGAATTACCCGGTATTATGTGGTGGTATATTCAAAAATAACATTATCGTAATCAAATTTTAAAGGTATTTTATAATATTAAATTTTACATGTTTCACTTACTATCTAATTGAACATAAATTGCAATTTTTTTTTTTAAATTCATCAAAAACTTTTTCTGCTAAATTAGTTCTTTTACTTTTTTCATATAAGTACACATTACATTCACAAGCCGGATAAAAGATTCTCACATATTGTTTGAACGTAACCAAATTTAAACAAGACGTAACGTGCTGAATGTCTTTTCTATAGTACTTAGTACTTACATATTGGTGGATTTTCATATAAATAATAATAGGTAGTAAGTATCTCCTCATAGTTGGATAGAATTCATAATCTTTTTTAAATACGAAATATTATCAGTTTCACTGATTGAACTAACTCTTTATCTTCCATTAAACATACTATATGTTTGACTTTCTACTAAATTATCTATTATATAGCCCTTGCTTAATTCTTTTAAATTCCTGGTAAAATTAATTTGTTTAATTTTTAAAACAACTGTGATGGTACCTCATTATATTGGACTAAAACGAATTTCTAAAGACTGAATTAAAGAGTTGGTACAAGGTCAAGCTATATACATAGAAACACAACAAAAAGAAATATTTTATGATAAATTCATGTTCCGCTTAAATATGGACGATTAAAATATTTTCAGCTGAAATACGCTTCGGCTGTTTTATAGCTCCTTTATGGCTTCGTCATTGTTTAATGTATACAATTGTGATAATAAATTTGCGGAATTCTACTATCACAAAACATTATCAATACAAATACGAGTAATGCTGCAATTCTGCAATAAGGCCATTTTAATCTATACATGGATATGGGTTACTAAATATTATGGAGTACAAAAAAACATTAATTGTTCAACATTATGGTATAATTTAAAAAAATATCCGGATATACTTCGCACGATGGGTGGGCCACTGTTATAGGTGAGAAGTTGGGAAGGTAGGATATAGAAGGGAATTCAATTTATATAATATTTATATCAGTACATAACGATTAATCTTGGCTGACGAAAAACGATTCTGACTATTCTGAGAGGAATTCGGTTATATATGTTTAAAAAAATACATTTCATAAATTTTCCAGTTTTTCCTAAGTTTTTTCCCATTTATTATGAAAACAGCTGAGAAAATCCAAAAATAACCCACCATAAATTACCACTCCAGTCAGATTTACTTTCAGAGAAAGTAATATACTTGAAAATTGGAGTGAAATTATTGGTAGAAAAGTTGTAAAAAAAAATAAAAAAATTAATAAAAATAATTGTAAAAGTATTACATTCCTCGCTCTGCTCAGAACCTAAAATAAACAAATAACTTTACTTCAAAAATGAATAGTCTTATAATCACTGCAAGTACCTACCGACTATCGCAATAATATTTTTCGGGATTTTGGGATATTGGATTTGGATTTAGTTTTTTCAACTTGCAGAGAATCTAGATGGGGGAATCGTCTCCCTCTGCCCTTCTCTTTAGGAACTCTTTGCCTGTCCTAGAAATCAGGTATCGTGATGTGCGCCTGTGTATTATAATATATACATTAGGTATAAAAACTTAAATACTAACTTTTTGCGGATTCCAGCTGAACATCAGGTCCAGATAAGTAGGAGTCTGCGTCATGAGCGTGTGTAAGGCCCAACCGGTGCTCCATTGTATGGACAAGGCGACCCAAAACGGTACACAGGAGAAAACGTACTTCCACGGTATCGGCAGCTATATAGACACGGAATAAAGAAAACGTTTTCAAGATGTATATATATGAGGTATAGGATGACTATTTTATAATGAACTAACGATTATAATTATAGGTATAAACACAAATATTTCGTGTAATTTGATTTTAGATTTTTATTTTTTATACATTTTTTAAAAGCTGCATTTAAGATGGCTTGATACCAGCATACGATATTGCCAATGTGTGTTACAAACGTATGACACCGAATTTGCGTTAAGCAACGACAACATTGTGTTTTTGTTTTAATATACAATAAATTGACGAAATATTAAACATAATGATAGAAACGTTATCTGTACAGCGTTAGCGCTATTTTTTCGATATTTTAATGTTTAACTAAGACAGAGAATGTGAAATATCACAATTTAATAACGATCACATATCTCGTTTAAAAATTAAAATATCAAAAAATATAGCGCCTGCGTTACACAGATAATGTTCTTTTCTTGACGGCTGATCAGTGGCGGATCCAGAGTTTAATTTGGAGGAGGAATCTTAAAATAATTATTACTAAGCAAAACAAAGAAAAAGGGTGATATTGTGGATAGGTGCAGCCACTATTTTAGGTGGGAAATTGAGAAGATAGGACATTAAGATCATTTAATTTATATCTGTAAGCACCGATAAACCATTACCAATCTATTATTCAATTGGAGTAAGATTTCTGATAGGAAATTTGTTCATAGACAGAAAGAAAATACACTATAGTGCAATCAATGCATTCATAACTTTCTTGAAAATCTTGTATTTTATATACACACAATAAACAATTATTTGTGGACGTAAATACTTTTTTATAATATATAGTCTGAGGGGGGGGGGGCGGCGAGGCAATTGGGCCTTCTTCCGGATCTAAAACTGCTGCTGATAATAGATCAATTTACTCTAATAAAATCGCCTATAAGGAACCCCCATGAATAAGGGAGGTTAGGTATGACAAATTCGATTTGTTTATTTTACATCGGGTAGCTCTTAGATGATTCGTCGAATGAACCATAAACAAATTTACTTGAAATCTTCGTAATTATTATAATAGAAGGTTCGTGATAAAATAATCGACCTCTACGTATATCTATAATTTCTTTAGCATCGCCACCTGCAAAAATAGACGTTATGGCTCACCTTTACGGACGACACCACGTTGGTGAGACTGCTGGTGATGCTCACAAGTTCCCGTTCGGATATGTACGGGTGTTCGGCGGGTGTGTCGTACACCAACAGCCACCAGGCCGTGAACCACACCATGCCGAGCAACCCCGTGCTGTAGAACACATACGGCCAACCCCATTGTTCCATGATGAATCCGCACAACGGGTACGTGATAGCCACACCGATCGAGCTGCCTTTTAAATTCAAACCGATATTATAGAATACAGATTTTGTATGTAGAATAATACGCATTTTTTTTCTACGAAAAAAATGGGTGGGTTACGTACTTTAATAGTTTCAAGAGTATTTTTTGTTGTTTATTTATTTTTTTTTTTTTTTGTGAAAATGTAAACATTTTAATGTACTATACTCTAATAGCTAAGTAGATATATTTTTATATTCCATTGAAAACTGACTTTTTGTATTAAAATATATATATATTATCCTTTTAATAAAGTTTTAAACAACTATAGACTATCTGGGTCACATATATAGCGGCGAGACGAAGAAAATTGTTTGAAGACTCAGTCGAAATTGGAGGGTGGGTCGTGAATCGTGGGCGGTTAGAAGTGTAAGAAACATATAGAACAGTGAGTTTGGAATAAAAATTTGTAACAATTTATCACCGATTTCTGTAGGTATATAAGAGGAGCGATGGTGGTAAGTATGTAGCGAATTTCTGGACCTCACACACCATAAACAAAAATGTTCTACATACCACTGTAGTAAAAAGGTATTACCCATATTAAAAAGATATTATGGTTTACTCATATTCGGTAGCGTAAGCAGAGGGAGGAAGGTTAGGGGTCATACCCTTCATCAATTGCTTATTAATGGAACAATTACTTAATTTTGAAAATTTAATTTTGAAACGCGTGGTATATTTCGACACTTTTAACCAAGTTAAAAGGAACAGGTGGATTTATTGAATAAAAATTAGTTTTTTTTTTATATCTGCCGTTTAAATTCCCATTAGTTTTCCATTATATCGAGTGGCGTAAAGAATACGATTATTCGATTTATTTATGGTTATTATTTACTAAATTATCTTTAATTGAAAATTCCTGTACACGCCACTGGCCATATTACAAAGAGAATACAGGCAAAATCAGAAGAACGATACATGCACAGATATCTAATTGCAAATGTTTAAATATTTGTATTTTCCAATTTTATTTAAGAGCGTTGTGTATTGAAATTATTTATCTATATAGAACATAGATACGTTTGAATGCGAACAATTTGTGTTTGGTTCGCACTATCGCGTTTATTATAGAATACTATTAATTTGTGTTTAATATACAAACGGTGTCTCTATTATGTAACGTCGTTACGGGTTAAATTATCTGTAGAACGGGTATTTGTAATTGATAAAATACAATTTTTTTTTAGTTAGATGTAGGTATACAATTTCATCCGGAGCGGATTGTTTAGCGTTCTTAGAAACCTATCCTAAAAAAACGCGTGCGTGTACAGTGTGTGTGTATACCAGTTCCAACCAAATGGCAATACGAAATATTTCGGCCAAATGGAATTAGATATCGAAACGGATTTTTATATCTTGTGCGTTGGGACGTAAAGAAATATACATTTTCAGCAAATTTGTTTTAATTTTTAACTTTTGCGGAGATGGTGAATATTTATTATGTAATAGTATTCGTTATTATGTAAAAAAAAAAAAGTTTTACACCGAATTATTGTTCGACATACAAACGGCAGGTAGATAGATATTTTTTTTTTTTAGATAATAGATGAAGATAAATAATATATGAACTAGTAAATAAGGTTAAGCATTTTTTTTTTTACTAACTCAATATTAGATAATAACGTAGTAGTAGTTTTACGATAAATTATTCGATTATTTTTATCAGGCAGATGTATAAAATTATATATTATATATGATTTCGTATATATTTATTGGTTGGAAAATAATTTAACTTTGCAGAGAAGCAGAACTCAATCACTAATACCGAATTTCCCCCTAGCCGACTTGTTTCCGTTACTATGTTTCCTTTATTTTCTTTTAAATACGGAGCGGAGCGGTAAAGGATTTATTAGTTTTACTATATGATATTGTGTGTTATTTTTTCAGTCGTTAAACTGAAAACTATTGAAAAATGACAAGAGACCTTTTTTGTTTTGGAACTTTTTGGTGTATAAGAAAGTCATTTTTTGATTTTCCGTGTAGTTTTCTTAATAATTGAGCAAAACCAGAAAATTGTTTAGAAAGAACGGGACAATTTATGGAAATAATAGTTTTATTTTATTCAATTTTGTTTTGAATTTTTTTTAGTCGTAATTCAATTAAAAATATTCGTATAGAGATATAAAATTTCGACAGATAACTACTTATGTTTGCTTTTTTTAGACGTGGTAAAATTTTCAAAACGCTCAGAAGATATTTTTAAACTGTTTTTAGATATTTTATGATGCCGAGTTTTTCGCGTAGTTTTTATTTGGTAGGTGCTATTTGATTACATAATTGTTTGACAATTTAACGGGAGATTCATTAAAATATCATGGTGTACTCAGTGGTAAAAGAAAAAGCAGAGTGGACATGGCGAGGTTATTTTAGTCTGTTTAAATATTAATTATTTCTGCACTCAAACGGGTCGTTATGGGTTATCCAAATTTATCGTCGACACTTACGTTATTTATTGTAGAAAACACGAATGATTTTTGATTTCGGACTGAAAAAATCAACTATCTCGCACGGCGTTTAATAAAATCAAATATCATGATTTACATTTTTGTTTGGTTTTTTTATGAGCCTATTTAGATAATTTTGAGTACATATAACTACACGCGTGTTGAATATAGGTTTGTGTAGGACACAAAATTAAATATTTTAACTGTGGCATTACTCTCACGCGTCAGTGGCAATTGAATAATATTAATTTCTAGTCATAATAATTAAAAGTTATTATATATAAATACACATTAACGGGTGTGTACATTTAACACAGAGATGTGTAATACGACGACGAGCGTCGCGAAAAAAAAAAAAAAACGAAATATTAATTAAAAATAATGACCCAAATAGGCGGAAATGAACTTGCTCCTCTTGTTCGGCGGCACCCAATGCGCGGTCAGATGATGGACTGACGGCCACGCCATACCCTAAAAACAAAATGTACATGATAAATGCTGTAATTGTTATTAGGAAACCATAACATATACGTGTAATTTTTATTTATTTTTCCATCGCGTCATATTGTGTCGTAGAATACTATAATATTGTTTGTACATAATATTGGCCCGATGACCGCATAAATAAACAGTACGGCGAATATTATTTAAATAACCGTCATCGCACGTAATATGCATATTGTATGTTATGCTACTGAGAATGTCCGCCGCAGCCGGTGACAGTCATCGGTTAATGTGATCGCACACCAAAGTCGTTGGTGAACATCGATTAAATTTGTAGTGTTTGCAGTAAACATTCTACGGGGATAACGGAAAAGCCGAAAAAATAACACAGTATTATCAGTATGATACGACGACAGTAAACGTATACTATGCGTAGCAACATTTGCAACATTTGGTGTTTTACAAGTCGATAATTTTGATTAAAATGTTTTATTACCTCGCCTACCTCAACTATTTTTATTAAATTTGGATAACGGCCATGCCATGCTGTGCTGCTACGCTAACATTTAGCCAACATTTATCATTCAAAAAACTGTTATATATTTTATTGTATGCGATTGATTTGCACAATGATCAAAACATTTTTTTTTTTTTTTTTTTTTTATAAATAGAAAATATACGTGAAGTATTTTTATAATAAATTTAATAATTATTAGTGTATCTTATAAAAAACGTGATAATTCTTTTTTTCTGTCGGCTGAATAATATAATCATTTAATTAGTTAAGTGAACATTTTTTTTTTCTTTGATTACGCAATATATTCTTAAATTGAAAATTAATTAAATTCAATTGGTTGGTAAAGGTACACATGTCGCAATAACAAAACAAAGTGCGCTACAAAAATGTGCGGTTGCAGAAATGTTGGCGTTTTATGTAGTAAAACATGTCACGACAGTTTGTCACGTTGCAATAAGTAGAACTATTTCTTTTGTTTTTTTAAAAACAATAATATTTTGTGTGGTTATGGTTATAATTTGAATTAATAATACTAATAATAATAATATTTCATTGATATAACTAAACATATTTTATCTATTTTGTATAATATATATGCACGTTGCATACATATGCATACATATGCATACGTCTATAGTCAATATAGTATACTCTTTACTATTATATTATGTGCGAATACGTATATCAACGTTAACTACAACCGTGTTGTGTATATCAACTAGCATATGTCTACATTTTTAAAATTTTTCAACAATCACCCATTTAGGAGACGTATGTGGACATTTACTAGGCGATTGTCAACATTCGCCAATTGCGGACATTCACAGCATCATCGCGTCACATCGTATAGTAAATTTTGATGACGGGTCAATGACGCAACTATTATAGAGGATAATAGTTGATAAAGTGAGATTTTAGAGGGCCCGTTATCAGGGTTATTAGTATAAATTAACATTTTTATTAACAATAAACGAAATAAACGTGACGTTCTGTCACGGTGGGGCCGTATTATACGTAGGCGCCACACGTCCACTTTTGGAACGAACCGTTTGTGATTACTGTAGTTTTATGTTTTACGATTTCCTTTTCGTTTAAAACAAATGAAGGGTTGTGGATAAAACGTATCCGAAGATTTAATCCGATCACGATCAATATTAGATTAGTATCACAAGATGATGTCACCATATTAATTTTGGCGATCGACTGACTATGATCGTTTTTTCTCGCAAACCCTTCAAATGTATGTTGTAAAACTAAAGCCGTTTGGCGTTACTATAATAAAATATACAATTTAAAAAATATCTGTCGGTTATACGCACCCCGATGAATCCTTGTAACGCCCGCACAAGTATGAGTCCTCTGACGTCCCACCGGGCGACAAACGGCATCGTCAGCGACAAGGTAAACATGATCAAATTGCTCAGGCCGAATATACGTTTGGCTCCGTAAGTCCGCGCCAACAGACCGCCCGGCAACTGTAACGCCCAGTGGAACCAGTAGAACGAGCCCAGCACCATTGCCCGTTCGCCGTCTTTCCATTGGAAATCCTTCTGTCGATACGACAATAACAATACACACGTCATTATACGAATATAATATATAGGGCCAAGTTTAGGAAGTTATATTTTAGAACGATTGACATTTAGAAACCGAACGGTATTAACGAAAAATCTATAGTTTTAGATTCTGAGTGGAGCGAAGAAGCTTATGGTTTTACAAAGATGTTTATTTTTTTTTTTTTTATGTGAACAATTTTTCTACCAAAATGTTTACTCCGATATATACGAATTAGTCATTTTTCTGAAAGGAAATTTTCTTGGAATGGTACTTTAAGGAGGTCATTCTTCGATTTTCTCAGAAATTTTCCCAGAAAATATGAAAAATCAGGGGAAAAATGAGAAAATCGGTACAATATTAAATAAATGTTATTAAAGAAAATAAATAATGTCTATTTAATTATTTTATCATAATATGACGTTGTTTGACAAAGTTGTTTGATTAACTGAATTCCGTTCAGAAACGTTTTTTGTGAGCAATGGTTGATCGTTGCTTTCAGATATACATTAATTTCCCTTACCTTCCTAAATTCTCACTTACAACAGTGGCTGTTCCCATCGTGCGAAGTATGTCCAGTATTTTTTTTTATTATTATTTAAAGTAAATATTCACAAAAAAACGGATGGTTTGTAGGTGCCTAGGTGTTCAGAAATATGACAAAAAATATTAAGTTTTTTCAAAATAAAATTCATTAAAAGAATTTTAGACTACGGAAATTATATAAATTTGAAAAATTTGATTGGAATTTGTTAAATTTTAATACATTTGTGGTAGGGTGAGAGTATTTTGGATTGGGATGGATTGGGAGGGTGGTTGGAAAATTAAATCGGTGATTCAAGGTAAAAATACTTCGAGCCACCACTGGTGGGGAAGGATAAAGAAATATGCGAAATGGTATAAAAGAAGTTATTTTTTTTATGGTTTTTGACAATTTAATTTTTTATATTTTGGAGTAAAATTCATTGTTTTTAGAATTTGTTAAAATTGATATCAAATAAAAAGTTATAAAAGTTAACCATAAGCAGCCCAAGATCTTCGAAATTTGATGACTTTTTTTTCTTTCATATTAAAATCGAAAAATTTACTATTGAACTAAACAATTTAAATGGATTGGAAGTGATATGTACGTGAGTGATCTACTGATATTAGTGTATTGTGGATAGCAATGAGATAAAACTTTAGGAACAGATACCCCCCCTCCCTGAAAAAAAATATATAGTATAAGAATGTATACGGGAATGATCAATCAAATCTCTACAATGCATGTATTGTAACACTTACATCAGCCTACTATCTATAACTACTTTTACATATTAAAATACTGTTTCATCACTCAATTTTTGTAGATTAGACACCGAGTTCAATGGACATTAAATGGACATTCTTTAGTATAGCTAACTTCTTGTGGTTTTTGTGATTTCAATAAGTTAAATTTTTTTCATTCTTTTAATACATTTTGTTAAAATGTGTTCGATTAATCTATGCAGTTAATCTCTCTAACGGATATAAAGGTTACATTTTTTCTTTAATTTTTTTTATCACAATTCTGTCGTACGAATTAATACATGTGTAGAGGAATGGGTCGGCATAGGTAGACAGATCTATAAAGTAAAATATTTGACTGCAAACAACATTACAACAATAAATCGTTCATCTTCGTTAGCTACAAATATAAATTAAAATAAATTTTTTTATTTAACTGTCTATGATAAATGAAAGATTAAATTACGCTATAAATTATAATGTATTACGTTGTAATGTGATAATTGGATTGACTAAATCCACACCATTTTGCCTCGCCCAGTATTGTCGACACACTTAGCATTCAGTAGGAGTATACATGTAAATGTATTAATACAAAATGATTGTAGTAGTTGTCGAGTTTCATACCGATAGCTAAATAAACAAAAATAATCTGATACTGCTGATAGGTGTGTCACTGTTTTAGAAGGAAGTTGGAAGGGGGATACGCATATAGAGTTATTTAATTACTAAAATAATTACGATAAATAATTACGAAATATGATTTTCAGAGAAGTTTAATTAAATATGTTTATAAACAACACTTATCAAAAAAAATATTTCATTAATACTTTTTTAGATAAACTTTTTTTTAACCACCAGGTTTTTTTAATTTTAGTCAAATTTGAACTTAAACGTAAATATAAAAAAAAAAAAAAATACTACATTACGTTTTTTTTTCCGACTACTAATTACCAATATTGATGAAAATCGTATTAAACTTGTAAGCATTTCTGATTGGTAAAACAATTTTATCCACATAAAACCAATTAAAAACTAAAAATAAAGAAATTAAAAATATTAAATGCTTATAAATAGCTCAAAAATCGCATATACAATGTAATAATATAGATATTTTGTAAAAATTTCAGGTCTCTATGATTTAACTGAATTTAACCGAATTACAGCAAACTAACAAAATCAAAAATAATTACCGTTAAAACCATTGAATTTCCTGTTTTTTACTAACTATTATGAAAACGGAAAATCAAAAAATGACCGTCTCAAATCACCGACTAGATTCAAAATCCTATAAAAAAAAACTGTCTTGTCGGTTCTTGATTGGAGCCAGATTTCTGGTAGAAAAGTTGTACACTGACATAAGAAAAGAAAAAGAAAAAAAAAACTGTATACATCATAGTAAAATCGATAAAATGCTCGCTTCATTTAGAACAGTAGTTCCTTACCTCTTAAATTCTACTCCCCTAGGTTTTTACGTTACTTATCTTTTAAATACATACAGCGTAATAACAACATCAGCGTTGAGCTTAACTCACATCATTATAGTTTTAACTTAGATCCCTTATGTAGTAGACGTGATTATTTTATGTACAAGCTTTGTTAAATGGTCACATCTCTTGTCCTGAACTTTTAAGTCTTGTTCCAATCCATGTACCCCAATACTTTTCTCGATCCCGTCCCACATTTTCAATATTTTCTCATAGAACTTCTCACGGTATTTTAATACTCCTCTAAATAGAATGTCAGTTTAGTGTAACAAATTGTCTTCTTTTGATGTTTTTTAACCCGATAGTCCTTCAATCCTAAAACACTACTTATAATTTAACTGTTATTAGAATATTATTTTATTATTAAACATGTTTTATTCAATTTTCGTACCTGTTAAAATAATATTGCTTGTTTATTTTTAAGTTGTGACAATAAATACTTCTCTTCATTCATATTATTTAATGTTGTTTTTAAGTATAATAGGTACAATATTAAACAAATATTATTGAAGAAAACGTTTGATGCATAATATGACATAAATATTGTTGACAAAGGAACACTATCAACTGAACTCCACTCAGAATCGTTTTTTCGTTAGCAATGATGGTTTATCGATTCTTACAGATACAAATTAATTTCCCCTCTATATCCTACATTCCCAACTTTTCACTAACAACACTGGCTGCACTCATCGTGTGAAGTATGTCTTTTTTTTGATAAAAATAATTTAAAATGGCTTATGACTTCCTGGCAACGTTTTCACGCCCCCCGTTCGGGTAACAGTAGTTTAGAACCTAAAACACATCATAGTAAAACCAATATATTCCTCGCTTCATTCAAAATCGAATAAAATACATATAAATAATAATAATAATAATAATTGTAATAAAATGTAATGTAACGAATAATAATGAAGTCACTTTTTTTACCACGTATTCATTTCTATTCTCCGTCGCATTCGTCATGCTGGTCGTGTTTAATTCGCACAACCGTATAGTATGTCCTTTGCTTTTCACCGTGGTCATGTCGACAATTGCAATGTTTAAATTGATACGTATCATGTAGTTGCATGCGAACCCGGTAAACACGAGGAACCATAATGATACCGTAGCTATAAGAATCAACGAAAATAATGTTATTGTTATTAATTTATAGACAGAAAAAAAAAAAAAACATATCATTGTAAAACCAATACATTGGTGTATCTAAAATGTATAAAACGTCTAATATGGCAATATACCTAGGGTAATTGAAAATATAATATAATATTCTTAATATATAGTTCAATATTAGTTCATACTGTAACTAATAAATCATTGATAATTTTAAGATTTACACATGTATAATATTACAAACATATTATGTCGAGGTGAGAAGTAAGGGTGACGTGATTTTACGCTCATCACTAATTGTGAATAGGTTGATCTTATTTCAAAACGTTATCAATTCTAAAATTTAAATACAAAGTAGAAGTAAAATGATTGTAAATAAAAAAAATAGTTCGACTTCATTATGATTATAGGAAAAAAAAAATTAAACAAAAATCGCCTTTGATTATCATTTTAATATTATTGTAATAAAATATTGAGCCAGAAATTTGTTGCTACAGTTAACCCGATTTCTTAGATAAATATTTACTATATTTTTCAGTTTTTAGTTGTACATATACTTCAAAAAGATAATTTATAATTTAAAAATATTGTTTATATTAACGATCAATCGTCAAATGTATAGACTATTTTTAAAGAAACTGTAAATTCGTAAATGGTTTTATTAGGGTGGTCCTTATTTTGCCAATAAGTTTCAAAACTTCCTTCGGGACACACGCCTATTTTGTGTCGTATATCAAAACGAAAATATCCTTAAAGTGTGATGTCATTTGGAGGCACACGGAGTTTTAATATATAATAACAAAAAAGATCTTAGGATTTAAAATTAAAATTCTTCGTATTGTTTTTTATTATACAAATTTTATTATACTATTAAACAATTCTAATCGATCTAAGTAAGGTCATTTGTACACTATTTTCATTAATTTTATGCAATCTTTTTGATAGTAAATAATAAAATGTCGTGCACCTCTACCAAGGACTATCTAAATGGCTTCAAATGTTGAGGATTTTTTTTTTATTACATGTCACAAGATAGGTAGGTGTTCCGAAAGAAATTTTGAAATTGACAAAATAAGAACCACCCTAGGTTAACGAAAATGCATACTATTCAATAAAATCCTAGAATATTCTATTGCGTACAAAATATTTCATATATTATTTGTAATGACTTAGCATTTTATATTCATTATGATTTGATGAAATACACAAAAAAAAAAATAAAATATATTGTAATATAATATTTGAAAAAGTTGACACTGCTCACGGCACGTGACGGTAGTCCGTTGTTCTAATTGGAAAGAATAGATATAATCATATAGGTACAGAATTTAATTTTAAAACTGTGTGTCTGTATACAACAACAATTGTAAACGAAAAAACGATTCTGAGTGGAGTAGCATTTTTGCCCCGTCCCCAAGGTTATTCAGAAATAAAATATTAGTAAGTATTATATATTTTCTTTAATAATGTTAATGTTTTACTTATTTTCCCGATTTCCTTACGTTTATCCAGGTTTCTCGTGATTTCTCCCGTTTATTGGAAAAACTCCTGGGAATATCAAAAAGTGACCTCCTTAAAGTACCTCCCCGGTCAGATTTCCTTTTAGAAAAAGTGCTATTTTTATAAATCGGTGCAAGATTGCTGGTAGAAAAATTGTGCACAGAAAAAATAAAATAATAAATAAATATCTTTGTAAAACCATAAGCTTCTTTGCTCCGCTCAGAATCTAAAACAATTGTAAAAATCAAACCGTGTTGTATACGTAACTCTCAAATTCAAACGATTCTAAAGCTTTATAAATATGTAAAATAATACGTTTTAAGCCAAAGGTTGTAAGCCGTATTTTACAATTCTAGGCGTAAACCTACTCAGAAAACGGTTAATCGAGTAATCGTATAGGCACTGGCGATATTACCGTTACTGTGCCTGATATCTAAACATAAAATCATAAGCCAGTTTGTCTATAGATTTAGAGACTGAAAATGATGTCAGTATAATATTATAGTAAATAGTTAATAATAATAATACACTCGAAACGTAATAAATACAATGTAAGCAACGTCATTTATAAGCGCATAATTAGTAGTTAAGCCATATGGTATAGGATACTAGGTAGAAGCCACCTATATGATGTGTTTATTCGTGTTTTAATTTTTAATTCTGTTCGTAAATGTTGAGTTTTATTGCCTCTGCGACGGATTATTAATATAAACTGCATTCGTTACAAAACTGTACAACGAATCTATACGGTTTTCGTAATGAATTCATCGTGAAAATCATTGTCTATTGTTTTATCGATATTCACTTTATATGCATAGGATAATATTATTTGGGAATAATAAATAAATTCTACATAGTAATTAAAATACATATTATCATTTATCACTACGTAATATTATTACCGTTGACCCCCAAGTTTTGAGTTTCGCACCTGTTATCGTATTATCAAATTTCTTTTAATATACAGGTACAAAGTGTAAGTACATACTAATGGTCAAATATACCTATAATATAACATATAAGTGTTTCGATTTTCAATTTTTCGGAGAGTTAAAACAATTCTATAACTAGCAAATTAATAAAATATTTCAATTTACCATTTTAAAAGATATATTTGAAGTTAACTAATGGACTAAAAGGTGGATGTTTCTTTACAAAATGCACATCGAAAATTATTCCTAATAAAAAAAAATATTGAGCACTTTTGTTTGGTTTATATAACTTTTTATGCTCTTCAATATATTTTATTAAAAACCACAGTCTTCTTGTTTTCGTGTTTATATAGTATATAAAAATAAAACGAGAAATACACAAACATTTGTTTCCCAAATTGAAAACCCCGTTCTTATGTATAGTAACAAAAATTTGAAAAGGAGAAGCCAAAGGCCATTGTACAATAATTTTACGATTACTTCGACTGTTGTATATTGAACGTGATTTTTGCATGAAAACTACAGGTCGTAGTAACTACATAGTAGTAACTATATATTCAGCATAGTAGTGTTTATATTAATAATATTGGGTTAATGTGTCGATAAGAGATAAAACGTGAGATAAAAAAATCCAGATTATGCGTTTCTGATTTCTCAAAAAAAAAAAAACCAGTTAAATAATAGATTGCGTAATATTATATTATAACTAACCGTTAAAAAAAAAAAATCATAAAACGAATGCGAAATTCAATAAACGATAACAACCTATTACACAGAACTTTTAAATTATAAGATTAGCCACAGGTGCATTTATCTTAATCTTCTATATTTTATTATTATATAAGCGATTCAAATATACTATAATACATTACACGTGCGATATTGCGTTACTGCGGCAATGTATAGAAACATTATTTATCAAAATAAATAACTGATAAACGTTAAAATGACTGTTTAGGTTTGAATCATAAAAATATGCACGGTGGCAGCGTGCACTACATAATAATAATGATGATCATAGTAACATTATTAAAATATGAATCATTTTTCAGCAAAAACACAAACAAACGTACATATAAATAGGTGATGTAAAAAAAAAATTTTCTTCGAGTCGACAAACAAAATTGTTGTTCGTGTATATTTTACTATAAATAAAAAAATGTGTAGGTATTATAATAACTAGTTTTTGTAAAAAATCGATATGGGTGGCTATATACTAGGGTGACCATACAAATAAAATAAAAATATGTACATAAAAAAAAAATTAATTAAACGTGACGCATAATAAACAAGTATAATGTATATTAAGTGAACTTAACTGTAAATCGTATACATAAAAATCACGCGTACGATGACGAGTTTAGGTGAGAAGCATTCTACAGTTACTCAATCGATTTTGATAATGCTCAATGTGTGTGATTTGGTCAAACTTAAAAGACAGGATAGTCTTCAGCTCGATTAATGACCTAGAAGGGGATGAAAGGTTCTTAGGTATTTTTGGTATGAAAATTAAATTATTTTTATTGAATTATGGGTTATTTTAGTTACACAGATAAAATGAAGAACAATGTAAAACAAAAAATAAATAATAAACAGAAACAAAAATGCCATAACAACTGTAACAACTTAAAATAAAGAGAATCTGACTCTCTGCCGGTCTATTAATGGCTTGAAATAGGATGAGCCAACTTGATAACACGCATGGAAAAAAAGCTGTCCTAGAATAATGAGGAGGGGTGCAGTCACTGTTATAGGTAATTTAATGTATACCTGTAAGCAACGATAAACTATTGCTAACGAATAAACGATTCTACGCGGAGTTCAGTTGATAGAGATGCTTTGTCAACAATATAAATGTCATATTATGGTTAAATAATAAAATATTCATTACTTATATAATTTTTTTAATAATATTTGCTTAATGTTGTACCGATTTTCTTGTTTTTCCGGTTTTCCTATGTTTTCCCTCGATTTTTCACATTTTCTGAGGAAACTCTTAGGGAAATGACCTCCCTTAAGAACCTTCCTAGTAAGATTTCCTTACAAAAAAAAAAGTTATTATGGTAAATTGGAGCAAAATTGCTGGTAGAAAAGTTGTTCTCGGGAAAACAAGAAGGCCGTAATATTTTATAGCTAATAACTATAAATTTCTTACATTTTCCGTTTTTTTTTTCGGTTTTTCACATTTGTTGAAAAAACTTCTGAGAAATCAAAAAATGACCTCGCAAAAGTATCTCCCTACACTGGTTTCCTTTTAGAAATAATGCTATACTTAAAAATATGATTAAGTCTTCTGGTAGAAAATTTGTGCACAGATAAAAAAAAAAAAAACATCTTTGTATAAAGAAGTTTTGTTCTACTCAGAATCTGTATTGTGCCGGCAGGGGCGCCAAAGTAGTTAAAAAATACTCGAGCAAACAAGGCAATACTGCATTATTTTTGTCTTCTTATGGTGTACTTTATTACATTACTCATAGTATTCAGACATGTACCCCAAGTTCGACGTCACTGTGTGCGAGTATCTATGGTAACACGGATGAAAAACACTAGTTCACCACTGACCCTTTTTCCACCTAGTTTTTTAGTTCAATATACTGATACGTTCAAAGCAAAACGGGAATAAGGGTAAAAATAATAAAAAATTGGCACGGGTAAGCCGCACAGTGGTTCAAAATTGAAAAAGTTGGCCGAAACCCAACATGGTATTAATAATTTTCCAAGGGGCAAATATGGTCAAATATGGACAGCTAATCTAAACATTTACCGACTCTATACACCTTATAAATATTTAAAATATATATATTAGCGTGAAGGTCGGTGAAAGAACTGGTTAACACCGTACGTTATTAAACATAACTTAAGCTATAACGAGTATTAATTTGTTATCGTTATAACTAATAATTGTGCAGATATAATATTTCTACAATAATGATGATAAATATTCTAATAGTCTTTATACTGATAAATAAAGAGAAATCCGATGTTAATTGTATTTCTATAGTATTTCATAGCGCACAAAAACTTAGTATTACCGAAATTACAAACATTTTATAGGTAATTTTTTTTTTTCAAACATAAATTTGAAAAGTAAAAAGTTACTTTTTGGATTAAGTTAGGCATTTTCGAATACCTAAATAATAAGCATAGAAAGAATTTCTATACAATAGTTTGCGATTTTTTGAAAATTTCAAAATTCACTTATGGCTAACTTTTATTGTTTTTAGACCACTGTGCGCCGAGCACGGGGCAGAAATAAATAAATAAATATATATATGCTGCACAAACATTTTTAAATAAAAATAAAATATGAACATACAAAAAAATGTTATTTTGATAGAATGAGGTTTGTTCCAACATGGAATGACAAGAAATCTTTTGTGTTGCATTTTGGCTCGTAAGTACTTTAAAAATGCCATTTTTTGAAATTCTTATTAATATACGAGATAATGAGAAAAAACTGTTGCTTACAGGTATAAATTAAATTTCCCTCAATATCCTACCTTTCGAAATTTCCCAACAGTGGCCGCACCCGTCCCAAGGATCAGCTCCTTTTTTTATTTTTCTTGTTTCATCCATATTACTAAGATAACCCATGAATAAAAATGAACAAAAATAAATAAATAATAACAATTAGATATTCGTACCAAAAATACCTAACAACCCCTATTTTATGCTCTTATGGGTTTAATTTTCGAAAATTATTTCTTAGTGGGTGCCTATGTCATAATAACTATCTGCATGCTAAATTTCAGTGATAGATTTGTCCAGTGGTTTGTGCTGTGCAATGATGAATCAATCGTCAGGACATATTAGAGGGAGAGTAGTGGAGCACAAATAAAACGCTACCGTTCGTGTTGCCACACAAATAATACTTCACTACTACTCCACTATCCCCCCACCTAAACTTAAAAGTAAAATATCTCATTAACGGGTTGAAGGAAATCAAAAATGTTGAAAATGTACACCAAAATGTATTTAAACTAATACTCCATTTATTTATGAAATTTTTAGTATAGGTTCTAATTTGAAAAACCAAAGTTGGTATCGCCACAGGATACTCTCAACCAAAAGAATGGGGTGAACACGCTTACGGAACCATCCTGTGTATAGAAGATTATGGTTACTTACTGTTTGCAAATGCAGGTTTTTCCCCGGCTTCACGATCCGTGATGAATATCTGTTCTGTTTGTGATCTATTTTATTTTTATGTACAGAATATGGAAAGTCTGGATTTGGTCACAAAGTGTTAAATGAATACGCGTTAATCTTAAACATTTTAAAAACTAAAATGTTTCTTTTTTTGTTATTTTTTAGAATTGAAAGAAGTATCTACTATAATTGAAAACTATTAACTAAGTACCTAAGAAAAATTAATTTGATAAATACATTTTTAATAAATATCTATATAATAATCTAATATATATTTGAGTATTTAAATGTATGTATTTGGTAACTTTTTAGAGCTACAAATCCTCTACCCTTCTTATTATAAACCTCACGTGTATAATACAATACAGGTACCCACTAAAATGGTCAGCATGATAATCCAAAAATATTATTATAAAATGGAGATTTTATTGAATAATGCCATAAAGAGGTAAAATAAATTTCAAAATTTGTATGTTAACAATTAACATTAAGGGGAAAAACTGGAATAATACGGCCGAACTTGAAAAAACAGGACAAAATTTGTGCCATCTAATTTCCGTCGGGACAACCAAATTATCATCTGTCACCAAGGTAACCCATAAGTAAACAAAAATAAATAAACAAACAATTAAATATTCGTACCAAAAATACCTAAAAACCTAATTATTGCAATTTTCGTGGGAATTCCCATAATTTTTTGAAAATAAAATACAGCCCATGTCACTCGCTGATAATGTAGCTTTTTATTGATGATAGAAGTTTTAAAATCGGTTAAGTAGTTTTTGAACTTATCCATTACAAACATACAAACAAATGTTTTCTCTTTAAAAATATTAATGAAGATAATATTATGTTTTTTTTTTTTTTTACTATTATTACATAACTACTATACGTCTATAACTATAACTATTGTCTATATTACCGTGGGATGTTATTATATTATATTTCGTCGAAATATACCAACCAAAGATCGAAGAGTATTTCGAGTATATTAAAACTGTGATATTATTATATTATAAACGTGTGTTTGACTATCATCAACGCGCCATAATTGTAATATATGGAATTGTATAGTAGGTATAATAGGTGTAATATAGTCATCATACGATTAAAACACTCAAACAACTCAAATGTTTAGCCGCACCATGTTAACATTGGAAATCCATTGTTATCACTAATAAATTATTATAATTTGTACCTATTTAATGTTTGGATTCCGGCGGCGATTAATTATTTTAACACTTTGTTCAAATTTACTGATTAAATCACTTATACGCATTATTCATGTATTTATTAGGTTCATAATACGTGCGTATAATTAATATGAATATTAATTCAAACAGGCGGCGTTTTGATTGGCAAATTATTGCGTTATCTAACCAATTTTAATTTTATTGCTTTGTATATTATTGCACTTGCCCTGAATAAATTATAAACCTAACCTCTGTAAGCTAACCTTAAATTAACTATATAATTAGGTGATATATTTTAGTATAAGTATTAGTTAATACAGAGTAATCAATCTACGATAAGACACTAATTATCTCGGAAAGTATTCACTTTTTTCTGATTTTTTTGACAATTTGAGAAACAAGAAGCACTTTTCCGTTTTACCTAAACAAGGAAAAAGTAAATGCATTTTGGGTGTACCAAGAGAACCAAGCCATCGCTCGCTCGGACTATTTTAATCACAAAATACCCCGCGATTTGTACAAAATGATTTGACTTCATTTTTGTTTTTTTTGTTTTTTAGAAAAAATAATTTAATATTTTTGTTTGTAACACTTTGTAAAAGTTTAGTTTAAGAAAAAAATTTAACTTATTAACTTTAATTTAATCAACTAAATAAAAAACCACCCAAATGTTCCTACAAAATACACGGACAAGAAATTTAAGAATTCAGATTTGTTTTCAAAATTAAAATTGGACGAACGGTAGTGTGTACATTTTACTCCAGTGTATTGGTGTTGAGCGTAGTAAAAGCAATATCGTGCTCCTTCCCCTTAAATGGGTATTAGGCAGTAAATTAATGGAAAAGTCTTATCATTGACATTTGGTTGTCATTAAAAGGTAAAAAATAATTTTGAAACCATACAAAATTGAAGAATATTTGGAAAACTGTTTCCAATCCCTTTTATTTAGATTAGTTGTTATTATTTTTTTTTTCAGGATTACTTCATTTAAACTAGTTAAAAATGCATTGAATTGTATAAAACCTGTACAATATAATATGTAGTTATATTAGGTTATATTAATATAAAACCGGGATTATGATGCCTGCTTTATGTTATTTAACGATTATAACGGAAATTAGATAATTTATACAGTTTGTTTTTTTTTTATAAAGAATTAAATATTTATGAGCAAAATATTTCAACATAATACATGTATGGATACAAATAGTTGTTTTCCTGTTTAAACAGTTGTGATCGTAAAAATAATAAAAAGGAACAAACTAATATACCTAATCAAATAATACGATTGAGGGGCTTTACTGCTTGTAAACATTATTATTCTATATACGTTTTGATAACGTTGGATTAAAACCCATTCGTAAATTACACTCGAGATGGGAACGAAATAATATATTCTTAGGACAGAGCATCACGCCATACAAGAGCAAAAATAATATGCACTGGGTAAGTGGCATGCGCAGTAGGGATCGCGGGTATATTCCCCACTGGCTTAAAAATGCAACAGATATGAATATTGACTGATATATTAATCTAATCTTGAAATTTATTTATTTGAAACAAGTTAGAATAGGAATAGCTTGATTTATTAAATAAAAATAGTCTTTTTTTTTTGGGCCCAGCTTTTATAAATTCTTACTTTTGGATTAGGTATAGAAGATAATTCTATACGATTTACTCATAGATCATGACAATTATTTACTATATCCCCTCCCGTTGACAATTTTTTTTTTGGCACGGCGAAGAAGTAATTCTATATGGCATCTGGCCAAAATCTGAAGTCCCTTGTACAGTCAATACCACACAGTCATCTTAATCACCATAATAATATTACACTATAGTAGTTGTTATATCAGTCCACATAGATGGACGAAGAAACATATTGCCTATTATAATATGTAAACGGTAATATTCTTTGAATTAAATAATACGACGCACGACCACGAACCCGTAATGTGCCCACTAGATTTTATAGGCGGAAATTATGATGGGATGGGGAAACTTAGCCTTACTTTTTTTTTTTTCGTAACTGTGTAGTTTTTGACGGTTTTCTCTTAAAGACAGAACAAAAATCTGAGTCAGTTATATTGCAGATTTTTTCCGCCGGATCCTTCCATAAAAAATACAAATCCCTCAGCAACCGATTCTTTAAACTTAGGACTAAAACCGCCTGTTAGTGATTAAGTTTTAAGCCTAAATCTGAACCGGTCGGTCCGACCATACACACATTTTCTCCAGTTCAGGCGTGGATCCAGAGGGGGGTGCTAGGGTGCTATAGCACCCCTCCTCCCTTGGCATATTGCTATATCGTTAAAACATGTACTATACGTATACACAATACATACATGTATTTTTAGAAGGCCCGGCATGTTTCTATGAATATGCCAAATTTCATTGTGGAGATATAAAGAGTTCGGATTTAGAATTGAAAAAGGAAATAAATTTGTAGGAAAATAAGAGGGCCAAAATTTAAAATAATCTGCAAATTGCAGTTGAAGCAATAAAATACTGCAGTGAATTTTTTTCCAACATCAAAATACTTTTTTCCTAGGTAACTAGTTTCTACAGCCACAGCGGAGAGATCTCTCCCAATTTTAAAAAGGTTGAAGAATTATTTAAGATCCATTATGCCTGAATTACGTACACACGGTTGATTTGGCCATGTTAAACATACTCAAACAGATAGCAAAAGATATAAACCAAGTTATTCCATTTGTGTGAAAAAAAGAGAAGGATGAAGTCAGAAGATTGGTTAAAATGACCAAAAAGGTTTATTGGTTTTTTTGTTTATCAATTATACTGAATATGTGATAGAATTTTAATTTTTTGTTCAATTAAACATTTATTTTTTTTATTATTGTTATTATTACAACAACCCTGCTAACAACTAATGTTTCAATACTTCTGTTTTATTTTTGTTAAATTCTGGATTACCTTGGAAACGGGACAAAAAAGAAACATAATTAATAATACTACTAATATACTGCTCCACTCAGAATCGTTACTACGTTTGCAATGATTTATCGTTGCATGCAATAAACTATGAACTTAATTACTCTGATATCCTACCTTCCCAACTATCCATCTACAACAGTGGCCAATTCTTGAGCAATATCGACTATTATGTAATAAGTCTATTAACTATAATAAATATAATAATAATATAATATATTAGGTTTTTGTTGAATATATTACTCGTTATGTAATAAATAAATAATAAAACGTATAGGCGAGGAAATAAATATTAAACATAAATTTTTTACTTCCACGCACATACGACGAGCATAGGTTTCATTCAAAAAAATAAATAAAAGGAAAATCAATTATTATACCTAATATAATAATATATCATACTGATCGATCAGCGATTTGTTTTTTTCTTGGTCAATAAAACGTCCGATCGAATCTCTTAATGAAATGTTATCGTTTGACGTTTAGATTTACTTTTAATTTATATCGAATACAGTCATGGACATTATATTAATAATTTATAGTCAATATAAATACCAAACAATTATGACGATCTTCGGAAAGTTTGATGTCGGAAGCGGTGAAAAAACTTAAGTTACTACGTTAAATATAGTTAGCTCGTTCCGCACTTCCATTACAATTGTGATTCTCTGGTCGGGGTTAGTCAACGAGGAAAAATAAAAAAAAAAGAGATAAAAACGACACGCGAATATTTTACGAGGTCAAACCACCGCTTCCAACAAAAACCTTTCCAAAAATCCCCAACATCCATTGCGCGTTAGAAAATCATAGACGGCAGAATATTGTATCGACACTGAGACATCCTCTAAATTTACGAACCTCGCGAATTCGAGGGGTACGACATAATTACATATTAGTTACTTAGTTACTTAATTATTTGTATATACTGAGCGACGAAAAGAATTTAAGTATTGCTTTACAATGTGTTTTTTTTTTCCTAGAAACCATTTTTCACCGGAAATATTGCTCTGATCTTTAAGAATAGCATCTTTTCTAAAAACAAAATTTTGTTTAGTGAATGCGTTGAGGCGGTCGTTTCTATGATTTTCCATATAGTTCTCTTAATAATCGGGAAACAATGGAGAAAAAAAAAAGGAAAATGTATGCATTAACAGATTTTGTTATTTTCGACTTTGTTTGTTGTTGCAATTCGGATAAAAATAATAGCAGAGACCTGACATTTTCACTGATATTACAACTTATATTATCTTTTTCTAGGCGTATTTAACTGAAATTCGCTCAGAATCATTTTTCGATAACAATAATTTATCGTTGCGTACAGATATAAATTCAATAACTTTATATATCCTACCTTCCTCACTTCCCATACACAATAGTAATTAGATCTTTTTTATTTTTTGCGAATAGTTTACTTTCTTTTTGGTGTTTATGTGAACATAAATCTATTTTATAAAGTATTTTAAGTGGAGCTATTACCAAATATAGATTTACATATAATGCATTGCAATATATTATTCTCAGCGAATAATACAGTAGTGTGTCAAGTTCTCTCATAGATCTATAGTATAAAGAAATGTACTGATAGGAGAGAGAAAGAGAGAAAGAGAGATAGAAGTCCGGGGACCAAGAGCTAACATTATAAAATACAACCCAACATTTATCACTTTAATTCGTCTGTAAAACGATTATTAATTCCGAATTTAAACTCATTTGGTCCAGATAAAAGTATACAAAAATTGCGAAAAATAAATATAAATAATAGAACATCGAGATATAAACACAGTGAAATATTGTCTCTATTTTTATGGAAAATAGAGATTTTTTTGAAAAAAATTCTTCGACGAATCACTTTTGACAGGCCCGCCGACCATTACTGGTTGGAAACAACTATTAGAGAGAGCCGAATCAAGAGAATTACCGTGTATTATTGTTGTTCAAAATTGGTACGTATTTTACAAATCTAATATTTTGCATAAATAACAAAAACTATACAATTTTAACTATTCAAACGATTATATTATTACAATGAAAATGATACAAGTTTATATTTGTATATTATGTTGGTGTAATTCTAATTTAACTCCTATATGGTTAATTTAATTTTTCCTCTTTCAAAAAAGTGTGTACAAAAAAAAAAAAAATTGAAGAACTTTGTTTCGAGTAATGAAGGAATAATTTTAAAAACTTTGGAGTTTCCGCAAAATATTGAATTATAATAATTTGTATTAAAACCTGCGCATTGCACGCACAAAAACAGAAATTTTTTTTATCATTTTTCTGTCATAACTTCCAAATGAAATTTATTCGAATATTTTTTTCCATGAGCACGAAAATTAGAAGTCTCGATACAACAAGTGCGTGTTCGTACACGAATATTTTTGGATACTTATGTATTCCACGTAACATGTGGATTTTGTAATTTCATAATTTGAAAACTAATTTTTTTTTGTACCTAATAACTTTTGCTATTTTGTTGTAATCATTTTTTTTTTTAATTACTAACTATTCTTATTATTATTTTGATAATTTTAAAGTTTAAATTTACGTATAGGTATTCGTCAAATACGTGATTTCCGGATTATACGGCTTCCAGTACGAAATTGTTTACAGTTTCTATAAAAACGTCTTTAATCGTCTTTAATTATGACACAAAAAAAAAAAAATCCAACGGGAGCTAAACTATAAAAGTAGTCCCTATATGTACATATGTATTTTTAAAATTTATTATTTTATGTATTCTAAATGTATTATGTTCAATAAATTATATGTCTACCTCAAAACATACGATAAAATATCATAATAATAAATTAAATGTTATAAAACCATTGAAATCTATTTGTTGTTGTCTTGATACAAAAATAGTAGTATGACGTCCGCGTGAATCATTCGTTTGGTGTTGAGAATGCGGACGAAATATTATTACGGTGCCATCTATTAACGGCTGATAATAGAGTAACCAGAGTGACCATCGTTTTTTGTTTTTGTCAAACAAGTTTTCGGTGGACTTCCTAGCAGTAACGATTATTCCCTAATTCCCTTGTTGATTAGATCCTTTACGTGGCACATAGATGTTGCAGGGAATCTATGTGGCTGTTCACATAAACACCCAAGGGTTTTATGTTTGCAACGGAACTAATTGACTATTCATAGATAGGGGAGGATTTATAGATAATCATAAGCATGATAAAAAAAATATAGATACGACAGTAATATAATCTCAGTTATCAGCAGATTCCGTGCAAACATGGATGCCGGCTTTCGCCTCTATACGATGACCGGATAACGTTATAATATAATTTATACAATTACAATTAACAATAGCCGAACGGCGCACGCCATTTTGTACGTATCGCAAAGTTGCTTACATACCTAACTATTTATTTAGTTACGACCACAGGGATCTAGTTAACCGGAGATCGTTTATAGGCACAAATATATATAATAGACTGGATTGCCAACTGGTGATAAGACACGAATCAAAAATCCGCCATTCAATTCGAAGCTCATGGGGCCTTATCAGTGTAATACTGTTGACAATCACTGTCTTGGTCACAGTGGTAAAATAAAGACAGATTCGACGATTATCACAATATAAAAGTATATGATGAGGTCCATGGGTCTTGAACTAAATGGCTACCGTTTGCTTCGACTAATCACATTAGCAGTATACATCAGTTGGCAATCTAGTTTATTATCTATATCTGTGTCTATATGGGTAACATAATGCCACGCTGTCCCGCCGGCCGGCGAGGATCATAATATAGATTAACGAAACCCTTGATCTACGTATAGATCATAAAGACACGAATCGGGTATTTTCAGTCGTATTTTTTCGGTCGTCAATATCGATCTACACTGCGTAATAAAACCAATAATAATAAAAATAACTGAATTACGTTCTCTTATGAAATTGCTCCCGTCGCCCGCCTCGCTCGGACCTGGGCTAACGGGAGTCCGAATATATCGAAATCTTAAAATATTGTCTACGAATCGACGGATGTTTTTTTTAAGACGCGACGCACGCCAAGGCAGTGTGACGGTGGCGATTTTTACCGGGGTCGACGGCGTTTTCGTCGTGGCGGTTTTGCGGAACACTGACAATTTGCATTTTCGCCACCACCGCCACGCTACATTGGTACGCGTCGACACGTGTTGTCATCCTAAGTCAAAAGACAGTTAGCAACAAAATTTGAAACATTCATAATTTTTTGATTCTCTCGCAAAAATACCGTAAACACAATAGACGCGTCTTATTAAATGCGAATTAACATATTATACGTATTTTTATACAATTAATGATACTAATGAGAAAAAGCGGTACAAAACATATAGGTACGCAATATAATAGGTCTTTGAAGAATGATAGAGTTCATTCATGTGTACGTTTTACGTTAGATTGTACGGCGAAAGTTGTTTAAGAATCATTTAATCGATAATTAATTAACCATTCGTTTCGAACGTGCGAAGAAAATAACAAGACAAACGAGAAAAAGTCATTTTTCTCGAAACTTTGTCGCTTACTGCCTATTGGCTTAGTTGGGCAGCGTGCTTCTGTGGCGTTTTCTCGCCACGGCGGCTCAGGACACTGGCGTTGGCCCGGCCGCAATCCGCGTGGCACAGACGCGCCGCGTCTTTTATACGCACCTCTCATGATGACTTCGACTTTGATTGCGGTCGACGGGTCTGCAGCGACGAGGGACGACGCCGCGCAAAAGGCGGACGGCGGCGGCGTTCAGAGGACACGCTGATGCGGACTCGGCATGACGTCCGGCGCGCGCGCGCGTGTCTACGATATTTATACTACAATGCGATTGCTGTCGTAGAGTGAAATAATAACACGCGTTTCATAACGCGCGGGTAATGTAACTGTTATTGTTTTAATCGACGGGTTCCCGCGCCGCCGACGCACGCGTGTTCCGCGACTGAACCGGAGAGCTGACCGCGAACGGTTCTTATTCGTTCGACGGACCGAACGCGCGTAGTCCTCGGACGTTACTATACGGACGCGCGCGCGCACACGCACACGCGTTCGCCCGTTGGCCGCCACGGCCCGCCGCCGCCGCCACCACGGATGTGTGTGTACGCGCGCAAAGGTAGGAGACGACGAAACGATTTTTTTTTTTTTGTTTCCCGCCTTTCTGCATTGACGACGATAACACACACCGATAACGGTTACTGCGGGTCGAGCACTTTGCCATCACCGCGAACACATACGACGAGTTCCGGACTGTCGTTCGTTAATGTTTAATACGCGATAGTAATTGACAATAACGTTAATAGTTGTCGTCTCGTTGCTCGCGATTAGCAATATTATTAAAATGTTCGCGCCGCGTAGTACGCGGACGCTGTGTAAACAATAGAAGAGTTTTGGCGACGGGGTTCCGAACGGTCATTAATCCACTAGGTATATAGAGGTGTGTTCGGTTCGTCAAACAAACCGTTTCGGCCGTGTCGTTTACTGCTGCGGTATTGTTCGATAACCGAACGCACTTTTCGACGGCCGGGTGGTCGGAACCGGCAAACGATTATTAAAAACGACGAAGTGTGCAGCCGCCGGCCGGCGGTCTGTTGCAGTTTCTCGTGTGGGGGAGCAAACATTCTATACGAGGCCGGTTTCCAAACATTTGCCAGGCCAATATTATTATGAAAAAAAAAAAAAATAAATAAAAATCGTTTCAATTGTAATTGGTTACAAACAAAATGTCGATAAAAAAAAATAACAATAAGATTTAAAACCGATTGCCACGACCATAGTATCGGTTATCGTCTAGATTTATGTATAGACGCAAATTGTAAAGCTGTGCGAGCACACGCGGTACCCTCTCCTCCACGGGGGTGCGCGATTTTGACAAATACTTATTGATCGTTTTTGTTGACGGTTATAATTAGTTATTAGTCGTTCGGTCGATAAACCGTTAAAATAAATCGATTGTTATGTGTAGTTTGTTATTGTTCGTATTTTCATAAATCGTAATGAAACTGTTTGGCGGTAAATAATTATATGGTACCGGCAATGTCGACATTTCAGGAAATGATGACAATACCTAAATACCTTAAGGAATAATGTTTTAGTTGACTTTTGACGATATTTCTGTAGTTTATTAGGCAACGGTATAGATAAATCATTTTTATTCCGATCAAGTGTAAACTCCAGCATTCTGCACCGATTATAGTTCACGTACCGAATTTTTATATTTATAGGTAAGCACAGAATTTCGGTATAGTTATCGCGTGTAGTATTTATTCTGTTTTATTAAAGGTGTTGTTTCTTAAAATTTAATAACATTAAGTTAAAAATAATACCTCGTCATCATGCATTATCGACCTCTTTAGCGCGTGTTCATCTAGTTATGACCAGTAGCGGCTGTTTACAATAATCTCTTCAATCAAATTATTCAAAATACTTTTGCTTTACAAAACACACCTAGACTATCATACAAACATACCTTGAAAATTTCAAGTAGCTAGCTATCATAGTTTAAGCTGTGCCTATTCAGTAATGTACACAAAATGTTTTAATAGAAATTAAATTTCACTATGGGCCGGGTACAAGGGCGCCCACAGGGATGAGCAAAAGGGGCTGTTGTCTTCCCTGGGATTTTCAACTGTATGTACTTTTATCACACATAATGGCATACCATTTTGTCATAATGATACAAAATATGCCTAAAATAAAATGTTTTTCCGTTTTGCCCTGGGTGGGATTTTATCCTGCAATCGCGCTTGGCCAGATAGCCTACCACCAAAAGCGTAGGTACCTATAATTTATGGAGGGGGGTTTCTAATTACTTATAAATCATTTGTAATGGGAGTGAAATTATTTATTTACTAAATGAGATTTTGAAATGGGGACGGATTAAACCCCCAACCACTTTAAGTTACATTACCTACCCCCTATAAACGTCACTGTGGTAACACGTGATATTATAATATTATTATATGTATTATTGAATGTTGGAACCGGGGCCCGGGAAACCGAGATAAGACGTTTTATTTAAGAAACAGTAAATCGACCTAAAATTTAATCGCGGCTATATTATAATATATATATATATATACCACATATCAATAAACCTATAGCCACGATTTTGATAGGTTTATGTAACAGACTTTGGCCGCGGCTGACAGGTGTTATAATTATTTTAAAGCATATCTCCATAAGTACGTACTATGCAGTGTTCAACGTTATACAGTGCTGTAATATTACAGTACATAATATAGTAGGTGGTATTATAGTAGTATTTGATTATGTAGATTTTGATATTATAGTAGTATTCAATAATATTGTTACCATTGTTCCGCCGACGCGCGACGCGCCGTCGTTGTACGCGTACTATCATACGCGCGGTGTAAACAACCAGGTATGTAGACAGCAGAATCCGACAACGAAACGGCCCACTTTCCATATCACGGAAATCGGTGTTTACATTTTTCGTTTAATAATAAAACATCATATATTATCATTAAATGAGCTATACTTTTACGAGTATTTCTAATGTATTCGCAACAAATTGAGGGGCATACCCGAGAGGTAACGAACCCAACCAAACTTTTAGGGAACTCGCGTGTTTTTCTCCCGTAGTACACATTTGTTTATAAAAAAAGTTACGCTAACAACCGAAAAGGTTTAAATAAACTGCAATACAAATAAAAACAAAACATTAATTATAATTAATCCCGATAGGTATTAAAGCATTTATTTTAGATTTTGATCAGAGCGAGGGATGTATTGGTTTTGACTTAAAGTTGAATTTATCAGGTAGGAAGATTCATTTTTTAATAGGTATACAAATTTATGAAATTTCTGTGTTCAAGCACGTGAATCAATCGAAAAATAGTATTTTTGTGATGAATGTATTGGTTTTACAATGTTTATTTTTTTTTTTATACTGTGACAAAAATTCTACAAGAATCTTGCTTCAAAGTATCAAGTGTAGCATCTTTTCTGAAAGAAAATTTTCCTGGAATAATGGTACTTAAAGGAGGTAATTTTTTGATTTTCTCAGGAGTTTTCATAATAAATGAGAAAAACTGGGAAAATGTACGAAATTTATTAATTTCAAATCGTAAATATTACGGCCTTTTAAAATATTTTTAACTGAACTTTTTTTTTATCATCGTTTATATTATCTTCAAAATTTTACTCTTACTCTGTCTACACACGCACATAATTACTGACTTTTCATTTTCAAATTCATTGGGGGTCATGGTAAACCCATCGCCGGTCCTTTTCAATTAGATTCAAAAAGAAAATAATTTTCAACAACAATATTGTGATATTATGTATATAGGCAACAACACTAATATTCAGGGCTTGATTAAGCCATCCGTAGGCCCTAGACAGTAATCCCCTCTATCATTTTAAGTTTATAAAAGTGCTTTTTTTCAGGGATTTTTTGGTGTTTTTGTGGATTATTATTAAAGAATATAAATTCTAATCTCTAATTAAAACATACAATAAGACACTAATTGACAATAATAACAACATTCAAGCCCGGATTAAGATGATTTTGTGCCTGGGGCCAAACAATTTTAGAGGTATATAGACACAAAAAATATTGGTGACTCACACATAAAATAAATTTCAGAAATTGTCATACATTTGTAGTCGATGGTAATCTAATTTCCTTATCACGATCATCCTGCTAAAAATAGACGATATTACAATAGCGTAAATAATAATAATATATCCATTCTCGTAATATATTATAGGAAAGTAATTTATAACAAAAACCTAACCACACTGATGAGTGTAGTTAGTATTATCCAATAGCGGATTTAAGGCACTGCGAACTATGCGGTCTCATGAGGGTGGCAAATTTAGGAGGGCAGCAAAATTTTGTTGAATATTTATTTTGTTTTAATATTTAACAATTAAAATTTTTTTTTATTCACACCATTTCAAAATGTAGTAATACAAAAACTAGGAAATTTAAAATAATACGGTTAGTTAGGAACTATGACACTATATGTAGTAATGAAAGACAAAAATAATTAAAATAATAGGATATTATGTAGAAGTACCTACAAAGAATAAAATACAGAGGAGTAGGTATAAAAATGTACCTATATAATATAAAGTAATTGATCTAGTTTTTGGTACTACAAAGAATGATTTATTTTTAAATATAATAAAAGTTCATCCTACTAATTATATTACTACCTTCCTTCCGATGTTTGAAGGGGATTCGGAGTCGCGAATCCGAGAATGGTGACGAGATCAATAAATAAAGAAAAATATAATTATTTTACCTGCCCACGGTGTTGAAACGCTAGGGTGTACACCTATAGATATCCTCGCGTGATCCTGGAGTCGTTGGTCGGCCGTCGCAATTCAATTAAAATAAACTAATTTAATTAATTAACACTTTGCACCCGTGTGCACTCAGATAAAAAATGCTAATCTTTAAATTAGGAAAACAAAAGGTTAAATTATAAAATAAATTAATAAATAAATCAAACACGAGTGATTATAGCTGTTAAAAGTCGGAGCTAGCTATTCGAGAGAGATTTTCGAAAGAAGTTTGTGGAGCGTAGTTGTTACTGTGTGCAGGGTTCTCGACAGAGTGATCGTCTTGGGATTTTTCGAGCGGTCAAGACGCTCGATTTTCAATTGAAAAAAGGAACCGATAGATTTTATAGGTTCAAATA